AAAGAACTAAGCAAAATGGAGATAAGCAACCTAACAGATACTGAGTTCAAAGTACTGCTTATAAGGATGCTCAATGAACTTAGTGAGAACCTCAGTGAACTTAGTGAGGGCCTCAAGAGCATAAAAAAGGACCAGTCAGAAATCATGGATACACAGTTAGAATTGAAGGAGGCATTAACTGAAATAAAGAATAATTTACACAGCTTCAATAATAGAGTACGTAAATCCAAGGAGCAAACCATTGATTTGGAATATAAGGAATCAAAAAATGCCCAATCAAAACAGCAAAAAGAAAAAAGAATCCAAAAAAAATGAGCATAGTGTAAGGAGACTCTGGGACAACTTCAAGCATGCCAACATTCGCATCTTGGGGGTGCCAGAAGGAGAAGAGCGAGAACAAGAAATCGAAAACCTGTTTGAAACAATAATGGCAGAAAATTTTCCTAACTTGGTGAAGGAAACAGACATACAAGTCCAGGAAGCACAGAGAGTCCCAAACAAGATGAACCCCAAGAGGCCCACACCAAGGACACATCATCACCAAAATGCAAAAGGTTCAAGACAAAGAGAGAATCTTAAAAGCAACAAGAGAAAAGCAGCTGGATACCTACAAAGGAGTTCCCATTAGGCTGTCAGCTGATTTCTCAAAAGAAACTTTGCAGGCCGGAAGGGAGTGGCAAGAAATATTCAGAGTGATGAAAACCAAGAACCTACAACCAAAATTACTCTATCCTGCAAAGCTGTCATTTAAAATTGATGGACATGCCCTGGCCGGTTTGGCTCAGCGGTTAGAGCGTCGGCCTGCGGTCCTGAGAGACCCGGGTTCGGTTCCCGCTAAGGGCGCGTACCTCGGTTGCAGTTTGTCCCCGGCCCTGGTCGGTTGTGCGGGTGGCAGCCACTCGATGTGTCCCTTTCACATCGATGTTTCTCTCTCTCTCTCTGTTCCTCTCTCTCCCTCCCACTCTACCTGAGCAAAAAATGGAAAAATGTCCTCGGGTGAGGATAAAAATAAATAAATAAATAAAATTGATGGACATATAAAAACTTTCCCAGACAAGAAAAAGTTAAAGGAGTTCATCACTACCAAACCGTTATTATATGAAATGATGAAGGGTCTTTTTGAAGAAAAAGATAAAATGTATGAACAAACAAAATGGCAATGAATACATATCTATCAACAATGGAATCTATGAACAAAATGAACAGGTAGAACAGAAACATTCTCATAGATACAGAGAACATTTTGTTGGTTGCCAGTTGGGAGGGGGGTTTGGGGAATGGGTGAAAAAGGTGAAGGGATTAAGAAGCACAAATTCATTGCTAGACTGACAAACCTCAAAGGGAAAGGGGTTGGGGGGGGTGGGAAGAAATAAACCAAAGAACTTATATGCATAACCAATGGACACAGACATTAGTGTGGGAAAAGGTGGGAGGGGGGCAGGAGTGAGGAGGAGGGGGTCAATGGGGTAAAAATGTGGAACATCTGTAATACATTTTACATCCAACAATAAAGATTTAAAATAAAAAAATTAAAAAAAAAAGAATTCACATTGTTGAGCATTCAATTAATCAAGTTATATTATTTCAGTCATGGATTTAACCTGCACTGGGACTCTTTTGAGATATAGAAAGAAAGAAAAAACCACTGTGCTGGGATCGTACTTCCCCTTCCCTACCTCATCCAGGCTGGGCATCGTATTTGTACATCAAAGAGCCAAGGCATGGGAGAAGGAATGGTTCAGTACAGGTTGTCACTAAAACTCTCTAAATGGTGGGTCAGTTCTGTCTTCTCATTTCTTCAAGGACAATGTGCCTTTCGGGCCATAGAAAGATGTTAAAAACAACTGGCCATTATGTCATTGCTGGAAGCTCTCTAAATTCTGCTTCTTGTGATTAAGTTTGTTCTCCTAAGATGCTCAAAGAGACTAAAAGCCCACCAAGCTTGTTTTCAGAATGACACCTAAAGAGAAATTTTTTTTAATGTGGAAGGCAAAAGCCTGTGAACCTGACCTCACAAACTAGAGTTGAATTTCTGACAACCAACACGAATTAATGAAATTCCTAGGCATACTAAACATCATAAACTTCTAATATCATTCCAAACTGCACCTTTGGTGACTTTCCAAGCTCTTGTCAAGCTTTTTGTTGCTTTATAAAAATAAAATAAAACAAATCTTAAAATCCAAACTCTCATTTTTTTTATTTTTAAACTTATCTTTATTGTTGAATGTATTACAGATGCCCCCCTTTTTACCCCCATTGACTCCCTCCTCCCTGCTCCCGCACCCCTCCTGCCTTCCCCACACTGTTGTCTGTGTCCATTGGTTATGCATATAAGTTCTTTGGTTTATCTCTTACCACCCTTTCTCCCCCCTTCCCTTTGAGGTTCATCAGTCTAACAACCAATTTGTACTTCTTAATTCCTTCACCTTTATCACCCATCCACCAGCCCCCTCCCATCTGGCAACCAATAAAAAGTTCTCTGTATCTATGAGTCTGTTTCTGTCCTGCTTGGTCATTTTGTTTGTAGATTTATTATTGATATATATGTATTTACTGCCATTTTATTGTTCATATTCTTGTTCTTCTTCAAGAAGACCTGTCAACATTTCATGTAATAATGGTTTGGTGAGGAACTCCTTTAGCTTTTTCTTGTCTGGGAAACTCTTGATATTTCCATCAATTCTAAATGATAGCTTTATAAAATAGAGTAATCTTGATTGTAGGTTGTTGCTTTTCATCACTTTGAATATCTCTTGCCACTCCTTTCTGGCCTGCAATTCTTTTAACGAGAAATCAGCTGACAATCTTATGGGAGCTCCTTTGTAGGTAACAAACTGCTTTTCTCTTGCTGCTTTTAAGATTCTCTCTTTGTCTTGAACCTTTTGCATTTTGATGATGATGTGTCTTGGTGTGGAGCTCTTTGGGTTCATCTTGTTTGGGACTCTCTGTGCTTCCTGGACTTATATGTCTGTTTCCTTCACCAAATTAGGGAAGTTTTCTGTCATTATTTTTTCAAATAGGTTTTCAATTTCTTGCTCTTTCTCTTCTCCTTTTGGCACCCCCGTGATGTGAATGTTGGTACACTTGAAGTTGTCCCAGAGGCTCCTCACATTGTCCTCGTTTTTTAATTTTGGATTCTTTTGTTCTGATTGGGTGTTATTGCTTCCTTACATTCCAAATTGATGGTTTGCTTCTTAGCTTTGCCTACTCTACTATTGATTCCCTGTAAATTATTTTTTGTTTCAGTTAGTGCATCCCTCATTTCTGACTGGTCCTTTTTTATGCTCTTAAAGTTCTCACTAATTTCCTTGCCATTCTTGCTAAGTTCATTGAAATTCTCATTAAGTTCATTGAGCATCCTTACAAAGTATTTTGAACTCTGCATCTGTTAGATTGCTTATCTCCATTTTGTTTAGTTCTTTTCCTGGAGTTTTGTTCTGTTCTTTCATTTGGGACATGTTTCTTTGTCTCCTCATTATGCTGCTTCCCTATGTTTGTTTCTATGTATTAATTAGAGTTGATATGTCTCCTAGGCTTCCTAGGGTGGCCTATTGTTGTAGGTGTCCTGTAGGGTCCAGTGGCACAGACTCCCTCATCACCCCAGCTGGGTCCTCGAGGTGCACCCCTCATGTGGACTGTTCACCATTCTGTTGTAATTGAGTCTTGACTGCTGTTGGCACATCAATAGGAGGGATTTACTCAGGCTGATCAGCTGCAAGGACTGGCTGTGCCCACTGACCACTGACCTCTGACTACCTTGGAGGATCAGCTGTGCAGGTCCCACCACACAGAGTAATACTTACTTCAGCAGGGCTCTGGTATCCACTGAGTCCACTCATTGAGTGTGTCACTTCTGGAGGTGGTTGGGTGGTGGTGCTTCGATGTGGTCTGAAGCTGTCCACTGGGTGTACTGGCTCTGGGGCAAGGTCAGTCTCTGCCTGGGTTCTACCTGTGACCACCAGACATAAGCTACAAAGCGATCTACAGATGGCTGCTTCTTGTGCTGGTCCTGGAGGTGCCCAGGTAAAGCCAATGTGTGAGCCAAGGCTGGCTGCTTCTAGTTCTAGGCCTAGGGCCAGTTAGCTAAAGGTATGGGGCTGATTGAGGCCAGAAGCTGCTTGTTTGAGAGAATTTAGGAAAATCTGAAGCAAGAGCCAAGACAGGCCAATCCCATGGTAAAGCCACTGGAAAAAGCTTGAGTGGACTTGAAAGTTGGGTGGGACAGGGCCTCAGAGAATCACCAGGGTGGGCCAAACAGTGTGAACCAGGTTGCCGGAGTCCCAGAGGTGGCAGCTGTCTGCCACCCCAGGGAAGGGCTCACCAAAGGAACAAAGGCCTCTGACAGCATGTCTGTCCAGGAGAAAGCTGCCCCTCCAGCTCTTGCCCCAAAGCCAAACAACTCAGTTCTTCTCAGTATGTCTCTGGTGCCTTTCAAGCTGCCTCCCCCATACTGGAGCCCAGAGGGAGCAAGTCTGAGTAAGTCCGTGTGTGGGCCCTTTAAGAGAAACTGCTGGGGCTCCAGCTGCCTCAGCCTCCCTCAACCTCAGTTCCCACTGGTTTTCCAGCCAGAAGTTATGGGGACTTCTCTTCCTGGCACTAGAACCCTGAGATGGGGGGCCTGGTGTGGGAGGGGGACCCCTCACTCCTCAGGGAGGACATTCCCAGCCGAGGTGTCCTCCTGATTTTTATCTGTCACACGTGGGTGTGGGACCAGACCATGCACTTCTGCCCCTCCTACCAGCCTCGATGTGGCCTCTTCTTTAATTCCGTAGTTGTAGGACTTCCATTCAGCTCCATGTCAGGCAGTTCTGAAGGATGGTTTTTCTATAGTTTAGCTGTAACTTTGATGTGGTTGTGGGAGGAGGCGATACCGCGTTTACCTACCCGCCATCTTGACCGGAAGTTCCCCAAACTAACTTATTAGCAGAGTGGACTGAACATTTCAGATGAACACAGATTAATAAGTCTTTTATTTAAATGAACAAACCCCAAAAATATCACATGGTTCTTTTACACTTGATCCGGTCCGCATGTCGTAGCTCATCTAGAACATTTCGAATGTTCTCGATACAAACTTCTCCTCTATAATGTTTTTTTGATGCAAGATTCCATACATTTTCAAATTCTTCATCCGAAAGCTTGACACCAATGTTACATAATATCTCTGTGATCTAGAAGAAAACATTGAAAGCCAAGACAAGATTTATACATTGAATAATCTGTATTTTTGCAATATGTTTCTAATATATGACTATGAATATTTATCCAAAAAAGGTATGTGGGGGAAGAGAAGGGTAATTTGTGTGTGGTAGGTACATGTGTGTGTGCTTATTACATACAATGACCAAATATCAATATTCCAGTTCTTTCATTTCAGGAATAATTTTGTTAAGATGAATATGAGGGCCTTAGCTGGTTTGGCTCAGCAGTTAGAGCATCGGCCCACGGACCAGAGAAACCCGGGTTCGGTTCCCGCTAAGGGCATGTACCTCGGTTGCAATTTGTCCCTGACCCGGTTGGGGTTGTGTGGGTGGCAACCATTCGATGTGTCTCTCTCATGTGGATGTTTCTCTCTCTTTCTCTTCCCCCCTCTCTCCCTCTCTATCTGAAGGTAAATGCAAAAATGTCCTCAGGTGAGGATAAAAAAAAAAAACAAAGATGAATGTGAGGGTGTTCGACTATAATAGCCAATATATAAAATTACTTACTTTCAACTTTAAGTGATTCTGTTTACTTTAAAGAGAGGCAACCAAACTCCAGCAGGAAAAAGTGAAGATAAAATACTTGCTGCATTTGAGCTCCATCTCAGTCACTTCTTTGTTGTTGTTGTTAATCCTCACCCAAGGATATTTCTCCATTGATTTTTTTTTTAGATAGAGTGAAAGGGAGGGAGGGAGAGAGAGACATCAATTGGTTGCCTCCTGAGACCAGGATCAAAACCTGCTACCCAGGCACGTACCCTTGACCAGGAATCAAACCCGTGACTGTCAGGTCTGAGGGCCGACGCTCTAACCACTGACCAAGACTAGCCAGGGCCTCAGTCACTTGCTGTCACCACGATCTTACATGTGTCATATAAACCCCATGAATGTTAGTTCCTCTTATTTAAAATAAGAACACTTATAAAATGTCTCTAACTGGCCTGTTGTAAGCAATAGTTATGGGTGCGTAACTGTCAGAGAGACTGTGGGCGCACAGCCAACTGACGGAGAAGACAGATCAGAGCATCTCGGAAACCAGCACACTTGGATTGTTCGTCATCTCTCTGCAGCGATAATTGTTAAGAGATGGAGAGGGAAAATATGCTTCTCATGTCCCAGAAAAAGTATAAGAAAGGAAAGATAAGAACTAGTAGTGGAAAGAAATGCTAGAATGAGTGGGAATAAAAGATTTGAAAAACAACAACAAAACTAAATTTAAAAGAGGAAAAAGATTTAACATAAAGCATACAGAAAAAAAGCAAAGAGGGAAATAAAAGAAAAGTTAGACAAGGAATAGGGAAGCCAAAGAAATAGAATAGTTGCAGAATACATCTATTACACAGCATCTGAACAATTAAAAGATCCCCTAGAAATGATGTGCCCTTGTGGGAAATTAACAGTGTAATCAAATACACTTGAAGTTCAGAAGCACAGCTCTGCCAGCAGCTGCACCTCAAGGTCCCAGTGCACAGCTGCCGCGTTTCCGTACCAGTGGCGGGTAAAGACTGTCCCTGCAGAGTGAACTCGCGAAGTGGTGTGAGTCCATCTCGGGCATCTCGGAGCTCCTCTCCCAGCCTCTCCCAGCCTCAGGAGGCAGACTCCCTCGTTCGGCATTCCATCATGGTGCACTGATTAACTAACATAATGCTTTTACAGAAACCCACATCTATTCTCAAGTTAATTTCAACCAGGCCTTTGGTTCTTACTTTTTTTTTTTTTAATCCTCACCGGAGGACATTTTTCCATTTTTTGTACAGATAGAGTGGGAGGGAGAGAGAGGAAGGGAGAGAGAGAGAGAAACATTGATGTGAAGGGACACATCGAGTGGCTGCCACCCGCACGACCAACCAGGACCGGGGACAAACTGCAACCGACGTACGTGCCCTTAGCGGGAACCAAACCCGGGTCTCTCCCGACCGCAGGCCGATGCTCTAACCGCTGAGCCAAACCGGCCAGGGCGGTTCTTACTTCTTATCTGGAATTATGAGGTAAAGGATGACTTCATTGTGAAAAGAATTTTAGGCTTCATACAACAAGCAGGAGACTTTTGTGAGTTTTTTGTTTGTGTTTTTTGTTGTTGTTGTTGTTGTTGTTGTTGTTGTTTTGGCAACCCTGGCCTCCTATTTCACAGGCCCCAAGTGGCTGAAGGAATTGAAAATGTAGACGAGGAGCACCTCTTCCCTGACTCGCTGTGGAGGACCCTGGCTTCCTTCTTTGGAACCAGCCAGCAGACACTGTCCTCTGAGCTTCTCCTTTCCTGTCTCCTCCGCCTCAGCAGAGTGAATTACTGCAATAAATCTCTTGTTAATGTAGTATTTGGTAAGTTTTCAAGCCATCAACCCTTCACCTGAAGTCCCAGAAGGCATATGTCTATTCACATCATTTCTACCTCCAGATAGGAAGGTTCTGAGGAAACAACTCAGGACAGCTCTGACCAAGCTGTCTGACCAAGCACTGCTACTAATCCTCGGTCCTCTGGAGCCCAGTGGCTAACTGGCTGCTCCTGCTTTATAACCCATAACCCATCGAGGAAGATAGGAGATGGGATATGAGGACCATGTCTTGTGGGAAACAAACAAGAAAACAAGATACATGGGCTGACATAGAACAGGACAGAGTAGTTTAAATCAGTGCTGTTGCAGATCATCTGAGACAGGATAGCAGTGCATCAGGAGGGTGGTAGACTGGCCCTCTCTATGCTCACTCTTTGGTTCTGCAGACCCAAGAACTTAAACAAGGAAGGGATTGATCCTTTTTGCTTTTTTTCAACTAAGAATGTTATTGAATGTTTTAGGAAAACATTTTTCTTTTATCATAGGTCATAGTGAATATATGACGTGAAAGTAATGCTTACTATCACAGAGTAAATTCTACTTCGAGTCGTACCAAAGTATCACAACTCAATTGAGCATTACCCTCAAGAATCCTTCATTTGGCAATCCTGATGAGTTCTGATGTCAAATTTTATGAAGTCTAATATTAAATAGTTGTTGATAAACATTTCTATATTTGTGTATTTATGCAAAGTTGACATTTCTTTCTATCCTTTTGAAATAATATGCTGTACCTCTTTTTTTGATCTGGTTTGGAAGAAGTCTCTTTCAAACACTCCTTTCTGGCTGAAGATGGTAGGATGTAGTAATGAATAGGCATTGCCCTCTTCACCATAATTCATTCTATCACTGATGCGGCGAATCCGGGGGGCAGGAATATCAGACCGAACGGTTGGAACACCATAAATGGGATAACCTAGGACACCAAAGAGGAAAGAAAACACACATTTTGAAACAAAACTATGTAATTCAGTAGCCACCAGCTACATGTGGCTATTGTGAACACTTGAAATGTGGCTAGTCTGAATTTGAGATGTGCTGTAAGTATAAAATACACAATGACTATCAAAGATCTTATAACAAAAGAGTGAGATATTCAATTAATCACTTTGTATTGATTATATATTGAAATACTATTTTAGAAACACATATTATATACATTATATATATACACACACACACACACACACACTATTAAAATTAATTTCACTTGTTTTCGTTTTTGTAATGTGGCTACTAAAAATGTGTAAGTACATATGACTCCAGTTATATTTCTACTGGACAGCATTATTCTAAAGAATAGCAAAACTGCCCTGGCCAGTTTGGCTCAGCGTTTAGAGCATCAGCCAATGGACCGGAGAGTCCTGGGTTCGGTTCCCACAGAGGGCATGTACCTCAGTTGCAATTTGTCCCCGGCCCCAGTTGGGGTTGTGTGGGTGGCAACCACTCAATGTGTCTCTCTCACATCGATGTTTCGCTCTCTCTCTTCCCCCCTCTCTCCCTCCCACTTTATCTGAAGATAAATGCAAAAAAATGTCCTGGGGTGAGGATAAAAAAATAAGTAAAAAAAATAAAAAATAAAGAATAGCAAAACCTCATTACACCACAATGGACAGCAAGTCTATAAAATCCAGTTACAAAAAATATGTAAATCCTTAATCATGTCCTTGGACTAAGGACATGATCTTGATCAATATAAAATAGTCTTTCTAAATAACCAATATTCACGATGCTCAATATAGAGATAGAGGGTGTTATGGGTTAAACTGTATCTTCCCCAGATTTATATGTTAAAGTTCTAGTCCCTAGTATCTAGAATGTGACCTTATTTGGAAATAGGATCATTGTAGATGTAATTAATTAAGATGAGATTGTATGGAGTAGGTCCCTACTCTATTGTGACTGGGGTCCTTAAAGAAGGGGGCATTTGGCTCTGGCCGGTTTGGCTCAGTGGTTGGAGCGTCAGCCTGCGGACCAGAGAGCCCTGGGTTCGGTTCCTGCTTGGGGCATGTACCAAAAAAAAAGAAAGGGGACATTTGGCCACCGACACTCACACAGGAGAACCCCATGTAAAGATGGAGGCAGAGATCGAAGTGATGAGGCAGGGAACAGACTCTCCCTCACAGCCCTCAGAAGGAACCAGCCCTGCTGTCACCTTGATCTGGGACTTTTAACCTCCAGAACTGTGAGATGATAAATGTGTGTTGTTTAAGCCACGCGGTCTATGGCACTTGTTACAGCAGCCCTAGCAAACTACTAGCTGGAGAATGAAGATAATGAGAATCGTTTTTATAAGAGTTCTTCAAATATTTGAAGGCAAATATGTGTGTAGCTATGGTTTAAAAATCTCCTAAAGTTCGGTGACATCTGAATTACTACGATGCATACCATTCAGTGTTCTGAGCTGTGATGGTTTCAATTTCATTAATATAGAGATAATCCTTCACTTAGATCATCACTAACAATTGTTCAGTTCAGCCCAAACTTACAGAGACCCCCAGGGTGCTTGGATACAGAATTAAGTGAAAGATCCTAGGCTTTGAGAAACTTCTGGTCTAATGGAAACAGAGGCTGGGGACAATGCAAGGACAGATGAAGGACATGTCACTTTCAAGTTTGCTGATCATGTCAAACCTCAACAAATACGTTGACATACTCACAAATGGAAGGAACGGCTCCTACAACTGCACTGATGTCAGAAGAAGTGGTCTTATAGTGACTGGAACCTTGAACGCTTGGCCTCTGCAGTGTCCGAAGGGTCTTTTCTGAGCTCCTTTTTAAGACAATATCTTCAGGTTTTATCAGGAGAGCTGGTTCGGATTCTTCAACATGAGCCTCAGCAGTGTTTGCACAATCTGGTTTTCTACCTTTAAGCAAAGAGAGAAAATGTACAGGAAGAAGTTACTACCTGGTTCTTACCACCCTGCAACAAAATCATTTTTCCCACTTAGTTTCTTCTGGTGGAAACTCAGACTGGGCTGGTATAAACCCCCCACGGATGCCAGCACCCCACTGTGGAAGAACAAGTTCAGGCCAATGTCACATCCCAGGAAACTGGAACCTGGTCTAATGCTGCTTTCTGCCATTCCACTCACTTGACCCTAGAATAAAGCTTTTAAATCTAAAAAAATAAAAAAACAAATTACCTATTTTTTTTTCTTTCCTCTTTTTAGTAATTAGAGCTTATTTTCATATTTAACTTGAACAACAGGATTAACAGTGTTGTTCCTAGGGCTTTAGGAAGATATAGCAAAAGACATATTTAGAGTTGTAAATTCCACACATACCTGATCATAGGAGGGAAACCCGTGTATTGAAACATTTGGAGAAATGATGAGACCTCACTGTGAGCTCAGGAACCGATTATATAAATAACTCCCTTCAAATCATTGTATAAAAGAAAGTCCTGAGACAGAACTGAGATTATAAAATTCTGACCTGTTTTGCAGCTTTCCTTTGCTGCCTCAATTCTGAAATTTAGGAGTACATTCCTGACATTCTTTCCGACAGAGCTGGTAAGGAGACAGCTAGCACTAGAGGGCGCTGTGGTCTTCCAATCGCTACAAGAATGCTTAGTTCTGAAAAAGCACAAGCAAGGTTTGCAAAGGCAAATGTAGCCCGGTATGAGTGGGGTGGGAACTGTGGCAAACCAGAAAGACATGCCTCTGTGAAGTCTGCACCCCCCATTCAGCACCTGCCAATTGTTGCCATGAAAGCATTCAGAGCCATTCCAGATCCTCTAATCCCCTCCCCAACCCCAACCCCCAACCCCGACACAAAAAAGCAAAAATCTGTTCGAGGCATGAAAAACAGTTCCTCAGAAAACTGTTCGAAAGGCACTGTCTTAAAGTACTTACCCCACACTATCACATTCCCTCCAGAAGTCAACAGTAAGATAGACTTGATACAAGAACATTCCTGAGCCCTTTCTGACCCACTGGCCACTATCTTAGAAGATAAAAATCTCAAGAATTCCATTGAAAGTGGCTGATAAAGTCAGGACCCACAATTCTGATATGAAAGACACTGGTTTGACAATAGCCTTCTGCTTTTCCCCCACTACTCATGAGTTGTGCCAAGAAGAAGAACGACACCCCATATTTCCAAGAGCATCATTAGGTAGGGAAGATTCTCCTGCTTCCCTGGTGGGTAGACTAGGAAGACCACCGCAGAAACGTGTACGGGCTCACATCATCAACACAACCCAAAATTTGGTTTTGGCCTTGCAGAAAGGTATGACCAAGGAATAAAAATAAAAACGGGAGTATCTTCACTTTTTAGAAGAGAGAAAATAAAAATGTAAACAACCTTTTTATTATTTTTTTTTAATCCTCACCTGAGGATATTTTTCTATTTATCTTCAGATAGAGTGGGAGGGAGAGAAAGGGAAAGAGAGAGAGAAACATCCACGTTAGAGAGACACATCGACTGGCTGCCTCCCACAGGATCCTGCCCAGGGCCAGGGACAAACTGCAACTAAGGTACGTGCCCTTGGCCAGAATCGAACCCACAACTCACTGGTTTGCAGGCCAACGCTCTACCACTGAGCCAAACCGGCCAGAGCAACAACCTTTTTAAATGGTCAACCCTCTCTAATAATCAAGATTTGAAAATTAAAGCAAATGATACATTATTATATACCAACTAAATGACAAGAATGTTTGAAATAACACTCAATCGTAACAGAGTTGAAGTAAAATTGTCTCACAGCCTTGGCTGATAAAGTGGCAAATTGGTAAAATCATTTAGAAAAGCAAAACGAAAATATATAAAGAGAGTTACTTCTGGGATAATAATAGCATTCATAAGAAGTGAGATATAATTAGAAACAGAAAGCTTTTTGAAAGATAATAATCGTTATAGTGTTACCCATATTACTTTAAAGCTGTCTGGAAACAACCTAAATTTCAAAGAGTAAGGAAATGGTTTAGTAATTCATAATACAACAGCAGAAGGGAACTGAAAATAAAGTTTACAGAAACCATAAAAGTATCTCTTCATTCCATAGAAATATGGAAGTTAAATTTAAAAAAATAAAAATGGTACATCCGCTATGATTTTAGCTATGTTTAAATATATACATACACACATACAAATATGTATATATATGATTAGTAGTGCAGAAAATATGTAAGCATGAAAATATTTGAATAAAAGTAAAGATCAAGTTTTCTTTTTTTAACAAAAAATTAAAAGATCAAATTTTTCTTTGTCAGATTCACTTTCCCTAGTTGAAAAGAACTACTTTATGAAAATGGTTTTCAAACAGCTTTTTAAGGAATTGTATATCATATTTTGGGCTTCTGAATAATTTTTTTTGCTTTTAATTTTTTTCTCTTAAATGAATAAATGTGGTTCTAAATTTAAAAGATACAAAAACATAGATTAGAAATTGTGTCTCATTGCTACCCTATCCCTCAGCTACCCAGTGCTCCCTCCCTGGAAATAGCAAATGTTATCAAATTCTTCCCTATTTTCCTACAGATAGTCTATGCATAAACAAGCAAGTAAATAAATACGTATATATGTGCATTTCTAAAATACATAATATGAAAGTGGAGATGAGCTTCTAGAAAAAGGAAAACATCAAAGTCCATTTAGGAATTTAGCAAAGCTTCAAAAATTACCTTTAATGACAACCCTCTCTTCATACTCTTTAAGAGGCAGTTTATCTTTCCAGTTAAGAAAATTTGCAAATTCCAGGTAGTTAATCAGCCCATCATCATCCACATCACAGTAGTCAAATAGCTGGTCCAGGAGCTTCTCATCCAAGTGCAAGTTGGCCTGCTCACAGGCTTCCCGGAGCTCAGCTTTATCTATTACCCCGTCTCCCTTCTGCTGGACACGAGGCAAAAACAGACGAAGTGAGCATTGTCTGCAAGACCAGGGTATGCAACAGCTATTATTTCGTTTAAGAAAAAAGAAAGAGCCCTGGCTGGTTTGGCTCAGCGGTTAGAGCGTCGGCCTGCGGTCCGGAGAGACCCGGGTTCGGTTCCCGCTAAGGGCGCGTGCTTCGGTTGCAGTTTGTCCCCGGCCCTGGTTGGTCGTGTGGGTGGCAGCCACTCGATGTGTCCCTTCGCGTCGATGTTTCTCTCTCTCTCTCCCTTCCTCTCTCTCCCTCCCACTCTATCTGTATAAAAAAAAAAAAGAAAAGAAAAAAGAAAGAGTTCTATCACATAAATTCAATGACTTTGTCTTGTTTGTCACACAGGAGTAAAATATTAAGCACGATTCATTGAGTTGGCCTGATCGTGCACAGTAATTTCAACCCTGGTTGGAGCAGGGTGTGGCTCACAATCTTTGTTAATTCTATTTAATACTTTTTTTTTTTTTAATTTAAATCATGCTGTTTCCACTGAGCAGATGTGACTGTGATTCACGTTTGACATGCCATCTGACCCACGCTGCGTCCTTCTGACAGCTCTCTACAGTGTTCGTGCTTTCGGGCTGTTCTGGTGTCCCCACTGGGCAGGACCGCTCCTCCACTCCACTGCCTGGTAACGAGGAGGAACCGGGGAAGTAGCTGCCACCCAAGTACAGGCAGGTGGATTCAGAGATGGCTGCCTGCCTGTTGTTAGCACTCCTATGGGCAAGAGGGGCCTGCCTCCAATTTGGTGGTCAGCCCTCACTGTAACAATTAGCACTGAGATTCATCCCGGTAGGGGAGGAGGGGTGTCACTCCCCCTTTCAGAGAACAGTTTAATACAGGAGCACCCACACTGAGTGTGACAGGAGAGAAATGTATGACGGCTCTGGGCAGAAACTGGCTGGTTCACTTGGGAAATGAGGGGAGCAGAGCACGTGATGCTTGTTAAGGAAGAATGGCAAGAGTCGGGAGGTCTTACCACGCAGCCCCTCCTGTGACCTATTTAGCCAGCCTTCGATCCATTTGAAGATGACAGTAAAAATCTAAGGATGTTTGCAGTGGGTCCCGGCTGCTATAAGGGAGCTTTGGCCTTCCCAGAGTGATTTCTCTGAGATAAAATATAAACAAAGGGGCGAGAGGAGAGAAGAGGAAGAGGAGGGAGGAAAGGAGGGGGAGGAGGAGGAGGAAGAGGGGAAAAAAAAGGAGAAAATATAAACCAAAAAAAAAAAAGAGAGAGAGAGAGATTTCTCTGAGACAGACAAGAGAAACCATAAATGACTCATTGATCAGTATTCAGCTCTTATGCCCAGGATTGGCTTTACAATGATGAAGGTGATCTCTGGAGACCAAGAAACTGACCCAACGATTCTAGATACATTCCTCTCATCAGATCCATAGGCCTGGAAAATGTCCTTAACCCGTATGTTGAAACAGAATGCAAATTTAAAACATCTCTCTTTTTTTTTAATGTGTCTGTTTCTATTCAAACATATTATCTTGACAAGGGAGCGACAAATGCCCTGGATTAAAGTAGACGTCTTTATAAAAGCCTCTCTGCTGAAAACCCAAGTCAACCAAAATTGCAAACCCCACAGCCCTGGCTAAAAAGCAATGTGGGCTGTGGCTGCTGAATCAAGACGTCTTCAAAACTGAAATAGACGGTGTCAGTAATGGTGACTCTGCTGCCCAGTATAGGGCTTTGTGTGGACTGAAGACACTGGTGGTGTTTTTCATTCATGTGGCCTGTCAACTTGGGTGGTTTGTTTCTTTGAGCTGCCTACCGACACCATACCACTCAAAACTGAAAGTATATGTTTCTTACTCACCGGTGCAGAACCCCTCTCTCCCTCTGCACCCTTGATCTCTCTCCCCACACCCCAACCTTAGCAGCTCTAAGAAGAAAGATGACTAGATGTGGGACTAAGTAAGGTCTCCTCATCCCCAAGGGGGATCAAAGGCCACATGCATCTGTTCAAGTATGTTGTGGAACTTCAGGGAGCCACTCAAACTTGTGTGGCTTCTTTGGATACAGGTGCCAAAGTCATCATCCTACTCAGTCTGCAGGAGGAAGAAAGGTCTGGATGCAGCTAGAGGGGGTGGGCAGGGTTTGTTTGATGTGGAGAAGGAAAACTAGCAATAGAGTATTTCTGTGGCTTCCACTGCGAAATGTATAAGTGATATTGATACTGTATACGCCTATAGTAGGAATGTTAAGAGCCAGAGGCCCTTATGATCAAGAAGAGCCACATGTAGAGAACTGCTAGTACCTTTTGGGCCCCACAACCCTAATGACCTCTTTGAGCTACAAGTCTCCATGACTAATGGGTTTGCCACTTAGAGCCTCTGGAAAAGAGAGGCAACCTCCACTTGAAGGTGCCCCTTGAGGTTTAAGGCTCACTGCCCCCTAACCCAGACACCTTTTGAAAAGCACGCTATTAGCCAGTTACTGAGCTCTTGTTGAAACTGAACACTGACCCATGAAGGCCTTGTAACTTTCCAGAGTGATCAGCATTTTGAAGTGAGCCAACTTGGACTCAATGATTAACAAGATAGAAAGGGCCTACTAAGGCTCATTTGTGAAATGGTAATGGTATATCCAAGAAGGCAGCCAGCCTGACCCCAGAAACATCTCAGCTTCACATGAAAAGGGCCACAATCCTTTAGAGGAAAACTTTATTTATCTTTGTTCCCTGAAGCAAAAGCCACTGGCTCAGTAAGACCCTTAATTCTCAGAGGCTCCCCATGTGCTTGGGCCAGTGGTTCAGTAACCTGAAAGTCAAGGGTCTTTACTGGGCTGCTGTGGCTTTAAATCCAATGAGAGCTATGAAGGACCAAAAATAGACACAGTCATTCTACTCAGTGAAGAGAACTCAAGGCCATTCTCATGGCTCTGGCCAATACTCCCCTTGGTGAACCTGTTACAGTTTTACTGACTCTTGCTGTTGTCAATGGCCTGCCTGTTTGTTTTGCAACTTAGAAAGCTACAAACTAAGATTAAAGACACTTCTTTTTCAGTCTGAAAACTATGGAAACAAATCATGGTTATTGGATGAGACATCTGGGTAATTCACATAGATAACCATGATAAGGGTCCAATTCTCCAATGAGAATAACTGGAATTCAAGCTTCTGATTAAGCCTGACCCATTCAGATTGCCACCATCACTGCCTGGATCCACCGTTGTCCTAGACATGGCAACTCACCCACCATAACAGACAAGGCCCAAAGTAAAGCATTCTGTTTCAGATGCAGAGGTGCCAAACTATGAATCCTGCCAAAAGTTGACCCATTTGTCCCATGATGCAGGAGGACACATCACACATGACATTGCTCCATGCTCCTGACAGATGGACTACATCCAACCTTCGTTCCCTCTCAGAGCTATTAATGGTGCCTCACCACTGTTGACACATTTTCAAGTCATGGAACTGCTATTCCAGTCTACAACCAGCTCCAGTCGCAACAGGATGGCCCATGAAATTCACTTGAGTCATGTGTTTTGCTTTCTGGACCTTTTCAGTCTGACAGTGGTGTGCCTCATAACCCCAAAGCTACTCAACAATGAGCTGTTCAGCAAGGTATTCAATGAACCTTTCCTGCTTTCAACCATCCACAGCCATCTGGTGTTACTGAGCTTTGGAACAACCTTCTCAAAAATTGACTACCTTCCTTAACAGCTCCTGCTCATACATCTTTTTTTTTTTTACCCTTACCCGAGGACCTTTTTCCATTTTTTATTCAGATACAGTGGGAGGGGGGGAGAGAGAGAGAGAGAGAGAAACATCGGCGTGAAAGGGACACATCGAGTGGTTGCCACCCACACAACCCAACCAGGGCCGGGGACAAACTGCAACCGAGGAACAAGCCCTTAGCGGGAACTGAACCCAGGTGTCTCTGGACTGCAGGCCGACACTCTAACCGCTGAGCCAAACCGGCCAGGGCCTGCTCATACATCTTACAGTAAAGCAGTTTCATCTCTAAATGCAGCTGTCCCCAAAATGAAATCCATACCATCTCAGCTACATCATGTATATATAGACCTATTTTGAAAATTTGGGACTCTGTTGTGACCATTCTTGGACATGATACACTTTCTTCCCTCTAGATTTTAAGTTCCCTAAGTGGGAAGTCTATACATTATCCAGGATAATGTTTGATGTATTGTGAGTGTTCCATAAATGAAAAACTTAATCCTCTAAGCCAAAAAGATTAATTTAGGGAATCATATTTTATTTGTTCTGTTTTGGGCTTTGTTTTTTTTTTTGTTTGTTTTTTTGCCATTAAATTAAAAATGGGCATTCAACAATATAAGATTCAAATAATCAAAAAGTGTCCTACAGCTGTCGTAGGAAGACCCACATCTTATTAGCCTCTCGGAAGAAAAGCTCCTCGAGGACACTGAGCACTACACCGTGCATATTAAAATCTTACTATTTAAAAGGTGTATCAGTATTAAATAATTCTCAGTAATTTTCTCCCTGCTTAATTTAATTTTATCACAAGGAATATGCCTTGTGGTTCTCGAAGATAATCAACAGCTATTAAGATGATCATCTTGCCTATAACTGCATTTAAAATAAAGAATTTTTAAAAAGCAGAGCACTCTGTATTATGGTAGGTGTTCTTACTCAAACCACTGCTATATAAATTTCCCCAGATACCATCTATGTAAAATGCTTAGATTTGAGTTAAAATGTACTTATTTTAGCCCAGCCAGTGTGGCTCAGTGGCTGAGCATCGACCCATGCATCAAGAGGTCGTCAGATTCTCGGTCAGGGCACATGCCCAGGTTGTGGACCGATCCCCAGTGGGAAGCATGCAGGAGGCGGCTAATCGATGTTCTCTCTCATCAATGTTTCTATCTCTCTCTCCCTCTCACTTTCTCTCTCTTTATTTATTTTTTTATCCTCACCTGAAGACATTTTTCCATTTTTTATTCAGATAGAGCAGCAGGGAGAGAGAGGAAGAAAGAGGGTGAAACACTGACGTGAAAGGGATACATCAAGTGGCTGCCACCCACATGATCCAACCAGGGCTGGGGACAAACTGAACCAAGGTACGTTCCTTTAGCTGGAACCAAACCCAGGTGTCTCTTGACTGCAGGCCGACGCTCTAACTGCTGAGCCAAACCAGCCAGGGCTCACTTTCTCTCTCTTTAAAATCAATAAAGGAAAAAACAAATATTAAGTGTAACTTTTCAAAACTGTACTCAATGGTGGAAGAGAAATAGGAATAATATTTTTTCCCTTTTGAGATAAACTAAAATTATTCTGTTCTTTTTTCCTTCTCATATTAAAATTAATATTACCACATTGTCATAGATTTATTTATATACTTTTATTTGTTTATATAAGAGTCATTCTAAAATGGTTCTGAGGCTGCCAAGGAAAATAAATACAATTAATAAAAATAAGTACAAAATAAAAACAGAATCAAAACAAAGGGAGGAAATCAGGGCAAAGAAAATATAAGGATGGAAAAAATTAAGATGAAACCTGAATAAAAAGATCATACAGCCTAGCCAGTGTGGCTCAGTGGTTGAACATGGACCCATGCATCAAAAGATTGCCAGTTTGATTCCCAGTCAGGGCACATGCCCAGGTTGTGGGCCCGATACCCAGTGGGGGGCATGCAGGAGGTAGCCCACCAGTGTTCTCTCTCATTGATGTTTCTATCTCTCTCCCTCTCCCTTTCTCTCTCTCTCTAAAATCAATAAAGAAAAAAAATTTTTTATTAAACAAAACAAAAAAGATCATACAACATGTATGCTACAAGATCATGTTCACAAACTAAATCAGTTTCATTGAATTGGTTCTGAGCTTCCTGGTGACCAAGTCAAAAAGGTCTGGACAATTAGTACAAAATTCATGCTGTTCATGAGGTAAAAACAAACCAAATACGTAGATGAAGCACAGTTATTTCCTGTAGAAAGATTGGGTTTCCTTATAAAGAAGATGCATGTGACAAAAATAAGTAGTCTCATGGGCATACTAAAAATGTGCCGTATTTCACAAGCAGTTTATGTAACAGCATTCCTTAGTATAACCTAAAGGCAAGCAGCCTGGTAAAGCTATCCTGTGAGGACCTATAATGGCATCCGGTAATTGTGCAGCTCTAGGTTGATCTAACTTTATCAAAGGATAAAATTCAGAGTAGCTTGAAAATTGCCTTCTCAAAACTGAAACCACACCCTGCTCCCCCAGGGGGGAAACATTCTAAGTTTGAGTGATGGTGATAGTGGTACAAGAACCACACTTTGACCACCATTGATCTACTGCAAAGGTCAGAAAACTTCTGTCAAGGACCAAAAAGTACATATTTTAGGTTTGGCTGCACTACTCTGCATGTGTACTGCAAAAGCAGCCATAGAAAATACTGAAAACCAATGGGCATGTGAAACTATTAACTAAAACAGGTGGTGGACTGGATTTGACCCACAGGCCATAGTTCCCTGGCCCCTGGTCTATACCAATCTGCCGGGACCTGTAAGCCCATGCATTGACCCAAAAGCTCTCTCTGCTACCTACTACCGGCCTTGTCATAGTGCCTGAAGGCTGCCAGCAAAGTGTCAAAGTTTTGGTAATTAACATTCTTCAAATGATGCCGAGCTGCTGCAACCAGGGCTCGCTGCCTATCCTTGCCTCGAAGATATTCACCCGGGAGTCTATTATAGATGAGATCATCAGCGCCTATTGAAGAGGGAGAAAAGGTCTTTTATCTGAATGTAAAGCTTGTCAATAGTATTCCCATCCTAACGAAAGACAGAGAGAGAGATAGAGCAACTTCTGTGAATGAAAAATCTCATACCTAATTCCAATGCTTAGGATCCAGCATGACAAAATCTTGTGCATAAAAAAGTACATCTTGATAAAAAATAATAATAATATTTCTGTTTTATGTGACTTCTCTGTTCAATGAAAAAAATCTAAATAAATACATTTTGTTGGGGAATCATTAGCCCCACTCGGCTGTCATTTCCTAGGACAGTGAAGGCCTACCGGCCTCTCAGCAGACACTCGTCCGAAATGCCGAGGACTGGAAAGCGTGGGCTGATTTCATGTGGGGCCAGTTTGCGTGCCTCGGAGTTGACTGAATCAGGGGAGCCCAAACTGGACTCAAATTCCCTACTCCGGATAACAGGAGCTTTTAGCCTGCCTTCAGTCTGCAGATCAAGTTCCCATTTCTCAAGCCTGTTTCTCCCCATACCACTACCAGTACCCCCACCCCATGCACAGCTTCATTAATTAAGGTCCTGACCCACAACCCCCTCAGTTATCTGGAAGTAATGACCTCTCCAATCCCCATGCTAAATCCCCCCGGTCCTGACCATTCCTTCGCTTTATCCTTCATGACTTAAAGGAACTTCCCTGAATTAATAATGCTACAAAACACTGTGTTGCATAAGCTCACATAAAATAAATATTTATTTTGTCAGTGAGTGGACTTCAGCTAAAACATTTTCAGTAGTAGTTCTTAAACTTGAGTGTTTATAAGAACCTCCGGAGTCAGACTATCTGGGCATGGGTCCCGGGAACATGCATATTTAATAAAGTCCCTGAGTGATTACTGCAGGCTACATTTTGAAAACCACTGATATAAAGTCCAATTCTGATAAGCTTTAGCATATCCCTTTGGATTTCTGCTATTAAGATTGCTCAGTGCCCTGGCCGGAGTGGCGCAGTTGGTTGGGCATTGTTCCATGCACCGAAAGGTTGCCAGTTCGAGTCCTAGTCAGGCACATGCCCAGGTTTGGGGCTCAATACCAGGTAAGGGGGGTACAGGAGGTAGCGGATGGATGTCTCACTCTCACATTGATGTTTCTCTGTCTCTCCCTTCTTCTTTCTCTAAAAATCAATTAAAAATCTTAAAAAAAAAAAAGTCTGCTTAAAAATAAAGACAAAACCCTGCTAAGTATTTCTGCAGCCACTTTATAAACTGGTTAATTGATTGGCTGGTGGGAAGCTCTTAATTATGTGATTGTAGAGTACAACACCTTCTCCAACTTGAATGTGCCTATAATTCATCTGGAAATATTGTTAAAATGCAGTTTCTGATTTGGGAGGTCTGGGGTGGAGCCTGAGAGTTTGCATTTCTAAGAAGCTTGCAGGGGACCCCAACACTGTCGGCCTGCAGATCACATTTTGAGTAGCAAGGGCCTAATACAATATTTGACTCATTAAAAGGCTCTCACTTCACTCTGGCTTGTTTAATACAGGCCACATTTATTTTCTTTTATTTTTTTCTTTCACTTTTATCATTTTATTTATTTATTTTTTAATTTTTTATTTTTTTTGTTACAGATGTTTCTCCTGCCACATTTATTTTCTAAATAAAATTGAGAGCCTTAACTGACTGAAGGTATTCATTACAACAGCTTTAACCTGTGCCTATTTCAAACATACTATAAAAACTTTTGTTTCTTCCTTGTGCTAGAAATTTTTCTTATTTAATATTCATATGATATTTTAAGCCTCTGAAATTAGAAACTTCGAGAGGAGATGGTGAACTTAGCTGCAGAACTTTGTCAGGGGGGTTGACGTTGTTTGTTTTGTAAGGAGAAAGTCTGTATATTTACCATAGTCGTCGGGACGAAGGCAAACTCCAAATGTGTGGTCTGGGGGAACATTCATTGTTTCTGCAATGCTATAAAACAAATCCTTTAGTTAAAATACCCATACATGGCATCCCTGGAATGTAAAATATGTTTACCATATGTTTTTAATAGCCCGTGTTTTCTCCTATAACCAAATTATGAAGATCAAACAGAAGTTCTCCAACAGATCTTTTCTCTGACCTTCCACTTGCATTAACAATGGCTGGATGCTTTCACTGGCTTTCAGTGGCCCCGATTTAAAAGAAAAAAAAAAACAGGACATATTCAAAGCAGAATTATGGAAGTATAGAAAGACAGAAGACAAGGAAGGGAGAGAAAAAATGAAACACAGTAAGTTAAATTTATGATATCCCAGAGATAAAGCTTTACACAAAATGTTCTCTCCCACTTCTCCAAATGCCCTCTCCTCCTTGGAGAACTCAACACTTTCCTGGAACCCCAAGCTCTAAAGAAGCTGATAAAGTTCCCTGGTAAACATAAAAAGGATGACATGATCTCACTTGTTTACGAAATATAATGAATAAAATAAGCTGACAGTCAACATGGATCCAGAGACATGGAAGTAGGGAACACACTGACATACCTCAGAGAGTAGGGGAATTAGAGGGGGGAGAGAAACCCAAGAACTTATACGCATAGGCAATGGACACAGACAATAGTGTGGGGAAGGCTGGAAGGGTTGAGAGCGGGGAGGAGAGGGTCAATGGGGGCAAAAAAGGGGAACATCTGTAATACTTTCAACAATAAATAAATAAAAGTAAAAAATAAAACACAAAAGGAGCCCAGCCGGTGTGGCTCAGTGGTTGAGCGTTGACCCATGCACCAAGAGGTCACCAGTTCGATTCCTGGTCAGGGCACATGCCCATGCTGTGGACCAAATCCCCAGTGAGGGACATGCAGGAGGCAGCCAATTAATGCTCTCTTGCATCAATGTTTCTATCTCTCTCTCTCCCTCTCTTCCTTTTTCTCTCTCTAAAAATCAATAAAGAAAAAATTTTTTTAAAAAAAACACTAAAGAATGGCCCTGGCCGGTTTGGCTCAGCGGTTAGAGCGTTGGCCTGCGGTCCAGAGAGACCCGGGTTCGGTCCCCGCTAAGGGCATGTACTTCTGTTGCAGTTTGTCCCTGGCCCTAGTTGGGCTCTGCGGGAGGCAGCCACTCAATGTGTCCCTTTCACGTCGATGTTTCTCTCTCTCTTCCTCTCTCTCCTTCTCACTCTAGCTGAACAAAAAATGGAAGAATGTCCTCGAGTAAGGATAAAAAAAAAAAACACTAAAGGATGACTTTCTCACTTAATAGATAGAAACTAATAGAACACAAACCAACATTTACCACCAGAGTACTTTTTAAATTCAATTCACAGACACTGTCTATTCAAAGTTAATCATTAACTTACGGATCTAAAACTCTTCCAAGTTTATGTTGAAACTTTTCTTTGAAATCATCAACTCTCTTGGATATAAACTTGGCTCCTTTTTTCCTAGAAAATTAGAAAATTGTCAATTATCTCCACTACCTAAAGTATTCTTGGCTGCCAAATATACATATGGTAAGAAAAATCATAGTATAATTTGGGCCATTAGAAAAATAAATTCAGTTTTCAAAGAAATTATATGCCATAAAAGAAAGCTCTAAAAAAGAAATAGAGGAAGATATAAAAAAGTGGAAGCACATACCCTGTTCATGGATTGGAAGAATTAACATAATTAAAATGTCCATACTACCCAAAGCAATCTATAGATTCAATGCAATCCCTATCAAAATACCAACAACATATTTCATAGAACTAGAACAAATACTTCAAAAGTTCATATGGAACCAAAAAAGACCCCGAATAGCCACAGCAATCTTGAAAAAGAAGAACAAAGTTGGAGGGATCACAATACCAGATATCAGGTTATACTACAAAGCGACTGTAACCAAAACAGCCTGGTACTGGCACAAGAACAGGCATATAGACCAGTGGAACAGAACTGAAAACCCAGAAATGGACCCAAGGCAATACGCTCAATTAATATTTGACAAAGGTGGCAAGAGCATACAGTGGAGTAAAGACAGCCTCTTTAATAAATGGTGTTGGGAAAATTGGACAGCTACATGCAAAAAAATGAAACTAGACCATCAACTTACACCATACACAAAAATAAACTCAAAATGGATAAAAGACTTAAATGTGACCCGTGAATCCATAAAAATTCTAGAAGAAAATGTAGGCAACAAAATTTCGGACATCATACGGAGCAGAATTTTCACTGATACATCACCTAAGGCAACAGAAATAAAGGAGAAAATGAACACATGGGACTACATCAAACTAAAAAGCTTCTGCACAGCAAAAGAAACAATCATCAAAATGGAAAGGCAACCCACTGTATGGGAGAACATCATTGCCAATGATGTATCAGATAAGGGGTTAATTACCAATATATACAGAGTGCTCATACAACTCCACAAAAGGAAGACAAAGAACCCAATTAAAAAATGGGCAGAGGAGTTGAATAGACACCTCTCCAAACAGGACATACAAATGGCCAAGAGACATATGAAGAAATGCTCAACATCACTAATCATCAGAGAGATGCAAATTAAAACAACAATGAGGTATCACCTCACACCTGTCAGAATGGCCGCCATCAACAAATCATCAAACAACAAGTGTTGGCGAGGGTGTGGAGAAAAGGGGACTCTAATACACTGCTGGTGGGAATGCAGACTGGTGCAGCCGCTATGGAAAACAATATGGTGCTACCTCAAAAAATTAAAAATTGAACTTCCATTTGACCCAGTGATCCCACTGCTGGGAATATACCCTAAGAAGCCTGAAACACCAATCAGGAAGAATATATGTACCCCCATGTTCATAGCAGCACTATTTATAATAGCTAAGATCTGGAAACAGCTCAAGTGTCCACCAGTAGACGAATGGATCAAAAAGCTGTGGTACATATACACAATGGAATACTATGCAGCGGTAAGAAAGAAAGATCTCTTATCCTTTGAGACGACATGGAGGGACCTGGAAAGTATTATCCTAAGTGAAAGAAGCCAAGCAGAAAAAGACAAATACCACATGATCTCACTTATATACGGAATATAATGAACATAACAGTCTGAGGAATACAGTAGACCCAGACACATGGAAGTAGGGCACAGACTGACATCCTTCAGAAGAGGGGATGGGGGGGGGGGGTGGGAAGAGATTAACCACAGAACTCATATGCATGTATGCATGACCAATGGACATGGACAACTAAGCCGGGGACAGGGTGGAGGGGGGGTGGGGTGGGGGGTGCCAATGGGGTAAAAAGGTAAAATATCTGTAACAAAAAAATAAAAAAATAAACATAATAAAAAAAAAAAAGAAAGCTCTATGTTCATTCTTCTATCATGTATAATCTATTATAAAGGTAAATTTATAATAGAATATAAAATTTTAATGAAAGAATAAGACAAGCAGACTTAAAATTTGTTTTAGTTACCAAAACCAAAGTGGTATTATTATTATAAATAAAACTTTATTTTTTAATTGCTAAAAGAAAATTAAGCATTGAATAAATGAATAAATTAAAAATATAGTTAAAATTCACATCTAGTAAGCAAATATAGAGAAATTATAATACTGTCTAGTAATGAAAGAATGTAAAAAAACAAAACAAAGTGCTACTTTTAACATAGTACATAAGCATAAAGAGAAAGTGAGAGAAAATATCTAACACTGGCAAAAACTATGGTAAAAACACTTGTAGATTGCTAGTGTAAACTGCTATAATCCTTTTGGAAATAATTTGGTAATATGATTTAAAAAGCATAAAAATGTTCATTCCTTTTTATCTATATCTGGGAACCAATAAAAAAAAATCCACATAACAATTGAAAATGTAGAAAGTTATATTTATAAAAATGTTTATAGCCTCATTGACTATAATGAAAAAAAGAATCTAAATGTTCGATCATGAAGGGTTGATTATATTATGTCACATTAACAAGAACACTGCATGCAACTTAAATGCTGGTTATTAAGAATACACAGCAATATAAAATTATTTGATATTAGTGAAAAAGAATATAAAATGGAATTGCACTCTGATTAAACATATGCAGAAATCTACACAGGAAGCCACACTAGAAAAAAAATACATTAAAAATAATAAAGGTTGAATTAAAGTGACAAAATTATGGGTGATTTTATTTTGCCAATTTTCTATGATATAATTTTGTTACTTCAATGTGACTAAATTAATAAGATTTCTTATTTAATAAGATTTCTTTTGAGAACTGTAAAATTATAACACTACTATTTAATAACATTAAAATTAATAAATTTTAAATGTCTTGCTAAGTCTGAAAACAATGAGCATAAAATTATTAAACTTCATTTTCTTTTAAAACAATTTCCTGTGCTATAGAAATATGGAGCTGAATAAATTTCTGGAGAAGAGTGACACTCTGTGGAGAAACAAAAGATGAAATATAAAGTAATTCACCTCTCATTTCTTCATTTACTTTCCATTAGTTCAAAAAGAAGGGGGTAAAAAGAATTATATGGGTCAAGTCAGAATAAATCAATGGCAGTTTAAAAGCCATAATTTGAAACAAATACAGTTGACAATCTAAAAACCAGCTCCAAGAGACATAATTAGGAACATGGAAGAATGATAAGGGTTAGGATATAAATCATGGAGTCTACCCTTTTTAGTCTATTAGTGTCTGGATTATGTTTCAGGGAGAACCAGGAAGTACCTTTGAGTAGCCATGTATGTCAGAATATCAAAAATTGTAACAGTATTACACAACCTCACAGCATTCACTAACTCAGAATAAAGTCCTTTGTGTATTCTTCACACACACACACACACACACACACACCCCTATTGTTTGAAGATCCTGATTCTTCAAACCAAAAGTCATTAACAGAATACAGATAGAGCTAGTTTTACAGAGGAAATAGATCTCTTAAAAGTTGAGTAAACCAGATTTATGTTCAAATAGTACGTATAAAATTCAGATGCCTTAAAATGTAAACAAACATGCTTAACTCCAATTTTATAATAGTGAGTTATTTTTGAAAATCCAACAAACTGAAGGAATAAACACTATTATTTTAGCAATAACTTTCCAATTAGGTTTCAAAACACAAAAAATATGATCAAATAAAAACATTGTTACATAAATGATGTTTCCTCTGGGGCAGAGACAAGTTGGAGAGAAATCTACCATGCATATTGCCCACTTGTATAACAGTGTATTTTCTATTGAGATATAATTAACATGTAACATTGCACTAGTTTGTGGAATACTTAGTGTATTTATCTATGATTATCCAAATCATTAATAAATATGTCTTTATTAATGACCCAAAGGCTTTGCTCTTAGGACAGTCTTAAGGACCAAATTGTTGTTAATATGTTTATGTCATATTTTTTATAAATTGACAGGTTTCTATTTCTAAGCTTTCATAACTGAATTTCCATATTTATCATCTCCCTTAAGTATGTTATATTTAATTATAAATATGTACAGTCCTTAAATATTTAAATTATTTCTTCATGTTTTCCTTTATGTATAGTTTAACCACTTTAATGATGATAAGTTAATGAATATTTGTTATATAAGCTTTTTTCCTATACCCAAAAGAAAACTATTGCATATGGGCTTACTCTAATATTGTAAGAATTTATTTTGTGTTTGTATTTTACTGTTATTGCTTTGAATAATTCAAGTATCAGAAACTCATCTATTTAAGGAGTGGAAAAGGAATGGAAATCATTATTTCAGGTCTGTGATCGCAGAATCAAGTGCCTATAATAAACCTGGTGTGATGTTTAAGGGCAGCCTCTCAAGCCACACTGACTGGGTTTCATTCCTACCCCTAGTATCTCTGACCTACATGACCTTGGACAAATTATTTAATTTCTCTGTACCTCAGTTTCTTCATCTATAAAATGGGAAAAATTAAAATTATCGTACACCGACTCCATGGAGTTGTTGGTAGGATTAAATTAATAATATACAAAATACTTAGCACTTTGCTTCTATAACTGGGAGCTGTTGTCACCACAGAGAACAGACAGGCAACCGAGTGAGGTAGGCTGGGTCACAAGTTGTGGGAATGCAACAACTTTGTGTCCACGCTGGAGCCTAGGAACTTGGAGGGCCAGTGTCTCCTTTATAGAGGGCAGAGAGCAAAACAAATCCACTCTCACGACTGATTGTAGAAGTGCGTGCCCAGTATATTAGTTTCCTGTGGTTGCTGCAAAAAATTACCACAAATCGGTGGCTTAAAATAACAGAAATGTATCCTCTCACAGTCCTGAAGGGCAGAAGTCTGAAACCAAGGTGTCAGCCAGACCACACTGCCTCCAAAGGTTCCAGGGGAGAATCTGCTCATTGCTTCTTGCAACAGGAGAGGCTGCTGGCACTCTGTGGCCTTCCTTGACTTCAGGCCATATCACTTCAGGCCACATCTTCCACGTTCACTTCACCTTCTCCTGTGTGTCTTCTCCTCTGTCTCAAATCTCCCTCTGCTTTTCCCTTATAAGGACACTTGTCATTGGATTCAGGGTTCATCCAAATAACCTAAAATGATCTCTTCGTCTCAAGATCCTTAATTTAATTACATTTACAAAGACCCTTTTCCCACATAAGGTAACATTCAGAGGTTCTGGAAATTGTCTGGACACATCTTTTCAATCTACTAGACCAATGTTTCCAATCTTTGGATATATATTTTTTTCTTTATTGATTTTATAGAGAAAGGAAGGGAGAAGGAGACAGACATAGAAACATCAATGAGAGAGAACATCAATCGGCCGCCTCCTACATGCCTCCCCATTGGGGATTTAGCCCACAACCTGGGCATGTGCCCTGAACGGGAATCAAACTGAGACCTCTCAGTCCATGAGATAATGCTCAGTCCACTGAGCCACACTGGCCTGGCACAAAGTAAATTTAGAATGATACATAGTAACACACACACACACACACACACACACAATTTATCATGATTATCTCTAGGGGAATTGATCGGTTTGGAAGATACATCACTGTACATCTTTTTCTATTAATTTTATGTTTGAAACATATCATTGTATTACCTCTTCAAAAAATAAATCATCCCTGGCCGGGTACCTCAGTTGCTTAGAGAGTCATCCTGATATGCCAAGGTGGTGGGTCCGATCCCCCGTCAGGACATGCATAAGAATCAACTAATGAATGCATAAATAAGTGGAACAACAAATCAGTGTTTCTCCCTTTCTCTCTCTCTCATTCTTTCTCTCTCCCTCACCCCTTTCTCTCTCTAAAATTAATCAATCAATAAAAAATTTTAAATAAATAAATTGAAAACATAAACTTTACTTTAAGTCCATACGTCATATATCTAACGCTTGTCCTGGGATACAATATAGTTAAACTTACATTTGTAGTTCATGGAGCCAATATAAAGTTTTTGCCATGGTTCGTCCATCATTAAAATGTGGTGTTGGGGCCCCATACAAGTCAAACCTATGGAAATTTGATGGGTAATTTCGGGTCTTCGCTTCTCCTGTGAAAAGAAAGGAGAGACTTCTGACTTCTGCAATACAAATAACCTTATCTTGAAGGAAGTACATTATGTTCTCATTGACAATGAAAAAAGAGTGGAACAAAGAATGAAACTGTAACAGTGCAGGGACCTGCACATTTTGGCTACAGATGACAGAAGCATTCTCCCATGTGAGGTAAGAGACTGGTGGGACAAGAGTTCCTTGTGTTAATATTTGGAAAGTAAGTAGGGAAATGATGTAGAAGAAAAACATTTTTTTTTTACTTTTTTTTGGTATGTGCCCCTAGCAGGAACCAAACCCGGGACTCTCTGGTCCACAGGTCAATGCTCCAACCGCTGAGCCAAACTGGCCAGGGCGAGAAAAACATATTAATGATGAACAATGCAAGCCCAATTAACATTCCAGAAATCCTGAGACCAGGGAGATACGGCAATGCTTGGGGACCCCAGCGGTCCTTTCCCCAAAGCTAAGAGCTGAGAGGTTAGTGTTTTATACTTGCTTTCACTGAGATTTGGTGACATCATCAGAACACTGAAACCTTCACATTTCACTAAAATCACTTATCTCATATTAGAAACATTCAAAGGGTGATTGAGAGCTAGGAACCCAACAGGGAGGTCTTTATATTTAAGAGCTAATATTGTCATTTTTCTTTTCTAGTCGCAATATGGCATTAGTTTCATATTTCTAGATAAGAAAGTAAGACTGAAACTAGAGTTCATCTCAAAGGTTAAGATATAATAGAATATACTCAGCCTCATTAGTAACCCAAATAACATAAATAAAAACAAGCATGTGAAATAATAACTGGTCTCTCAGTTAAGTAACAATAAAAAAGATCAGCCAACTTACTATAGGGGAAGATGTAGGGAAGTGAAAATTCTCATATTCTGTGTGTGTGAGGACAAACTGGGGAAGCTATTCAGGTGGACAGTTGGGTCCTAAGAGTGAAAATTTCAAATGCTCAAAAATATAGGAATGTATCCTAAGGAAATAGATCATATTCACAAAGATATACAAACAATATTTTTTAATATTGAAAAGTACAATATTGAAACTGACATGAAAAGACAACCAAGATATTCATACAATGAGGGGGGATCAAGTAGGAAAAATATATACACAGTGGGGAGCAAAACACATACTACTCATATATGAATGAGTAAAGAAAAACATCTATGAGCCCTGGCTGATTTGGCTCAGCGGTTGGAGCATTGGCCTGTGGACCAGAGAGTCCCGGGTTTAGTTCCCGCTAGGGGCACGTACCAAAAAATGAATAAATAAAATTTAAAAAAAAAAAAAAAGAAAAACATCTATGAGAGTATCACCTGTGGAAGATTGCAAACTGTGGAAGATTTTCATTTTATTTTATGTTATTTTTTCTTTATTGATTTTAGAGAGAGAGGAAGGGAGAAGGAGAGAGAGATAGAAACATCAATGAGAGAGAACATCGATTGGCCACCTCCCACATGCCCCACACTGGGGATTTGGCCCGCAACCTGGGCATGTGCCCTGACCAGAAATCAAAGCAGTGACCTCTTGGTGCATGGATCGACACTCATCCACTGAGCCACACCGGCCAGGCTTCATTGTATTTTATATATTGCTCTGTAGCTTGCATTTTACAAAAGAAATATCTAGCCCTGGCCAGTGTGGCTCAGCAGTTAGAGCATCAGCCCATGGACCAGAGAGACCCGGGTTCGGTTCCCGCTAAGGGCACATACCTCGGTTGTATTTTGTCCCCGGCCCAAGTTGGGGTCGTGTGAGTGGCAACCGCTCGATGTGTCTCAGTCACCTCAATGTTTCTCTCTCTCTCTTCCTCCCTCTCACCCTTCTTCTCTATCTGAAGATAAATGCTAAAATGTCCTCGGGTGAGGATTAAAAAAAAAAAAAGAAATACCTATTACTTTAGTAATAATTAAAATTAAGTGCATTTGAAAGAAATTGTAGATATATATTTATTTTTATTAAATAGTGTCCTTGACATATTATTTTAAGTAAAAAAAAAAAAATGTTAATGTATATATCAGGTTCCCCCAAAGCATGGAAAATATAATCACATTAACTAAAGACAGCTCAATGGATAGTGAGTTAGAAAGTTGTTTAATATACCAGCTGGAGTTATCTCTGGTGAATGGGATTTCAAGATTATATTCACTTTTTATTCATGTTTTCATATTTAAATTCTGCACAATATTATGCATTTTAAAATAAAAACTGAAGTACTTTCATTATGAAAAAAAATAAGGACAATATTTAAAAGATTGGATTTCAGGACTTTTCAAGAGGCTAATAAAATTTCTGTAAAAATCAGCAAATGAAGTTCAGTCATGTTATAGTCCATTAGAGCTCTTCCAAATATTTTTTAATCTACACTCATTTAGCACCTCCAATTGCTAAATGCATGTATGATATCTCATTGTAGGTTGTCTACATATATTCACTTCATACATTTCTTTTTAAAACCACTAAAAGGCATTGGATTCGATTGTGCAATGAACACTAAACTTTTTTTAAAAAATGAATAAAATATTTTCACAAGAGAGGGAAGGAGGAAAAAAGGAAGAGACTCATGAATCCATAAAAATCCTAGAAGAAACTGTAGGCAACAAAATTTCAGACATCATACGCAGCACAATTTTCACTGATACATCACCTAAGGCAATAGAAACAAAGGAGAAAATGAACACATGGGACTACATCAAACTAAAAAGCTTCTGCACAGCGAAAGATACAATCATCAAAATGGAAAGGCTACCCACTGTATGGGAGAGCATGATTGCCGATGATATATCAGATAAGGGGTTAATTTCCAATATATAGAGAGTGCTCATACAACTCCACAAAAGGAAGACAAAGAACCCAATTACAAAATGGGCAGAGGAACTAAATAGACACCTCTCCAAACAGGACATACAAATGGCTAAGAGACATATGAAGAAATGCTCAACATCACTAATCATCAGAGAGATGCAAATTAAAACAACAATGAGGTATCACCTCACACCTGTCAGAATGGCCGCCATCAACTAATCATCAAACAACAAGTGTTGGCGAGGGTGTGGAGCAAAGGGGACTCTAGTACACTGCTGGTGGGAATGCAGACTAGTGCAGCCACTATGGAAAACAATATGGTGTTACTTCAAAAAATTAAAAATTGGCCCTGGCCGGTTTGGCTCAGCGGTTAGAGCGTCGGCCTGCGGTCTGGAGAGACCCGGGTTCGGTTCCCGCTAAGGGCACGTACCTCGGTTGCAGTTTGTCCCCGGCCCTGGTTGGTCGTGCGGGTGGCAGCCACTCGATGTGTTCCTTTCTCATAGATGTTTCTCTCTCTCTCTGTACCTCTCTCTCCCTCCCACTCTACCTGAACAAAAAATGGAAAAATGTCCTCGGGTGAGGATAAAAAAATAAAATAAAATAAATTAAAAATTGAACTTCCATTTGACCCAGTGACCCCACTTCTAGGAATATACCCTAAGAAGCATAAAACACCAATCAGAACGAATATATGTACCCCCATGTTTGTAGCAGCACTATTTACAATAGCTAAGATCTGGAAACAGCCCAAGTGTCCATCAGTAGACGAATGGATAAAAAAGCTGTGGTACATATACACAATGGAGTACTATGCAGCGGTAAGAAAGAAAGATCTCTTATCCTTTGAGACTACATGGAGGGACCTGGAAAGTATCATCCTAAGTGAAACAAGCCAAACAGAGAAAGACAAGTATCATATGAGCTCACTTATTTGTGGAATATAATGAACATAACAGTCTGAGGAATGGGGTAGTCCCAGAGACGTGGAAGTGGGGTACAGACTGACAATCCCCAGAAGATGGGTTGGTGGGGGAGAGATAAACCACAGAACTTATATGCATGTATCATGAACAGTGGACATGGACAACAAACTGGGGACAGGGCAGGGATGGAGGGGGAGGGGGGAATCAGGAGAAACATCTGTAACAAAAATTAATTAATAAAAAGTAAATAAATTTAAAAAAAAAAGGAAGGGAGGACTAAGGGGAGGAATGGAAGAAAGGGAGGGAGAGAGTCAGAAAGTAGAGGAGTAGAAACATGGAGAGAAGTCGAGGTTGCGAGGAGAAACGTGGTGACCAAGGGGGTGGAATCTGAATGGGAGGGTGGAGACACTCTCAGGACTGGGATCAGGTTAGAGAGTGTAGAGAACCAGCAGAGACTGGTCATGAAAGAAGAGAATGGCAGATTCCAGACAGTGGGACAATGGGCATAGGAGACCAGTTGCAGCTATGAGCAAAAGTTTAGAAGGAAGGGCATAGAGAAGGAGTAAGGTGTGAGATGGTGGTGGTGGAGGAGAAAAAGTAAAGAAATAAAAAAGGAGCGAGGGAGAGAGGTGTCTTGAGCTGTAACCAAGGGAGAGTCTTGCTTCAAGCTAATGGAAGTTGGGTTCATGAATCATTCACAATTCAGCAGCTTTCTCAGGATATATATCAGAGTCTAATTCTCAATCCTCTATTATATCAAGATTCTATTTAACATTAACACATCAACAATTAAGTTGTGTTATAGCACTATAAACATCTACTGCCTTTTAGCTGTGCTATAGAATAATTCTAGTAATAGGCTACTATTAATCAAGATGACTTAATACTTATAATAATAGCTATTGAGCCTTTCCCATATGGCATTGTGCTAAGCATTTTACAAGCATTCACTAATGTTCACAATACTATTATCTCCATTTAAGAGACTAGAATAGACGGTAATGGGACAAGTTTTTAAAATATCAAAGGTCTAAAAGATGAGCTAGAATTTGAACCTGATAAATCTGATTCAAAATTTGTTCACTTAGCCATTACCCAATCAATATTCCTCATATAAAGCTAAGCACTTAGAATCATCCTAACATTTGAAAAAGAACAGTATTTTAAAGCCTAAAACCACTAAAACAAAGTAACACTCTCTAACTAACATTTAATCTCTCTTACCTGTATTTTCATTTTGATGATATGTACATTTCTACATTTTATATACAAAATGTGTTAAGGGTATGTATTCCCAGCTATCAGAGTTTATAAAAATATTATTATTTATTGATTACCCATTATATGCCAGGCACTTAATTTTTTTTTTTTTTTAATCCTCACCCGAGGATATTTTTCTATTTATCTTCAGAGAGAGTGAGAGGGAGAAAGTGGGAGTGGGAGGGAGAAAGAGAGACACAGTGACTGGTTGCCTCCACACGACCAGGGCCAGGGATGAACCGCAACCAAAGTACGTGCCTTTGGCCACTGGAATCAAACCCGCAACTCTTTGGTCTGCAGGCCAACACTCTACCACTGAGCCAAACTGGCCAGGGCACCAGGCCCTTGACTTTATACACATTATCTCTTTTATTCCTCTTCACAAATCTGAAAGTCCCATATACTCGGGCCTATTTTACACTGGAGGACACTTACCCACATAATAATCATTGTGAGAAACAACATACAGATCATGTTTTTCGTCTCCTTCTTTAAATACATCTTCATAGGATTTTGGTGGATTCACCACATCTCTAGCGGGTATTTCTGAAGAAAGAATTAATCATGTCAGTTTCAAGGTATTACTCATGATATATTTAAATTAAGTAGAACAAATGACAAACAAGGTAAGCTGATTGCATAAGCTACATCTCCACCCTAGGAGAACAAAAAGTCAATATAAATGAAGACTTATCAAGACAGACAGGACATAGCCTAGACGTTACTATTCTAGGGACCCTATTTCACCTGGCTCAATCCCTGGAATGCTGAAGAATATCATCAGAACGTATTAGTTAACTGTTTAGGCTATTCTGAGCCATATTCCAAGACCAGTTAAATTCCCAATTCTGAGAATCTCTAGACAATTTTGATTTCAGTTTGCTCCAGACTTCTCATCACGATCTAAGCAAATCTGAATCACTAATCAGGTTCAGAAACCCTGATGCCCTGTGGGGTAGCCTTGGTGCAAATGTTGTCAGCTGTTGATTGGAGCACACACCCTGAGTCTGTTTTGATCTCAATATCCATCTTCAAAGTAGCCAAAAGTACCAGGGAAATCACTGAAATCAGAAAGAAATCCTTCTTCCTACTGGTCCCCAACCCTAGAGCTATAACATGTTTGTTTAGTAGCTGTTTTCTCAGGACTGGTGGCCCCTGGTTTCGTATACAGTGAATTATTTTGTTTTCATTGTTTTACATAATGACTTTTAAATATAATTCCACTTCTAATTTCCCTTCTCTTTCAACCTAACAACATAGATTAATAATAAATAATAATATATAATTATAATAAATATATTGATTGTTAATTAAATATATAATTAATATTACATCGTAATAATTATGAAATATAATTTCATTTATAATTTCATTCTTCCTTTCAACCTAACAACATGTTTTCTTTCTTTTGGAGTTTCTGCCAAAAATTGAGGCCTGTAAACAAACAGTTATGACTACCAGAAGGTGGTCCTACTCAAAATAACCCTATAAAGCAGTATTTCTTTCTGATAGATGAACTACCATACTTATTAATAGACACACACACATTTTGGAACATTCTTTCTATTATATATTTAAGTGAGGTACACCTAAACAATACTTTCCTTATTAAATGAACTACTCCTAGACAGCAGTTATATTACTGCTGTAACACTGTAATGCCATGTCTACATAAATACAATTTTTAATTCTATGAAAAAGATATTTTATCTGTTCTGAAATACATTTTCCATGTTTCAAATTTTAACTTAAGAGATAATACAATAAAGTACAAATGCATATTTTGCATTCTAAGACACAGGCATAATTTATCTCCAGGGTGGATGTCATTATGTTAAGGAAAATAATCTAATGGGATTTTTGGTGGAAAGAGTCCTGGAGCAGAGCCTTAATGGATGCAAAAAGACAAATAGAATGGAATTTCTCTGTTGGATAAAGATGCAATTTGAGGTCTCCTGTAAGACCCTGGAGATGGGAGAGACCTGAAAAGGATAATAGAAGATAAACGTGAGAAACATGTAAAGAAAAGCACCCAACAACATGGCAAGAAGCTGGGGCTTCAGAAGAAATGATAACCTGTGACCAATTCAATTACGTGTTGTTGTTTGTTGAATGATGTGCTTCACTCCTTCTGAAAATGAGAGGGCAAGTCTGTGCAATACACTACCTACGTTTGTTAATATCTGAGTAGATATTGTGGATCGCATGAGCAGGGGGGAGGTGTGCAGCATTTACCAATGTTATTTGTTCCTTGGTCTACTTTATGAAAGAGTTTCAGAAAGAGTTAAGAGTTATGAATACATTGGGGGCATTAATGAATATAAAACCCACAAAAGGGAGAAGGTATTGCAGCCTTCACAGCCGGTCCCAATGTCAACTTTTCTGACTCTCTTTCCTGTCTTTTTTTTTTTTTTAATTTATTTATTTCTGAGAAAGAAACATTGATTTGTTGTTCCATTATTTATGCATTCATTGGTTGATTCTTATATATGCCCTGACTGGAGATTGAACCCACAACCTTGGTGCACTGGGACAACGCTGTAACCAACTGAGCTACCCAGCCAGAGTTCCCTTTCCCGTACTTATATAATCTCTACTATGTTTACCAAATCTCCACTTCAAAACCAGAAATTTTTACTGCCTGGCACACATAAACTCTAAGGATTCTGGATCTGAGAGTAACTTTGTTGCTATGATCCCATCTTTCATTCTTCAGTCATGATTGGCATTGGCACCACCACCACCAAACACCAACCTTACCCATGGTATATTTAACCAAATTTTCTAAGAATTATTTTATCACCCCTCTTATCCCTTATTTTTTTTTACTACCTCTGATGACTGCTGTCCCAAATGTAGTTTTGAGTATATCCAGGCCTTTAGGTAATCCTGGCGATTGATCATGAGATTTTCCTAATGGTGCTCGTTGATTACTAAAATATATTGATTCCTTTTTATCTTTAATTTTCTGTTGGAATGTTGTAATAGGCTGTGGGTTTATCAATATCTTTGCCTAAAGAAATCATACAAAGCACAAAAGTATGAACAAAAATAAGTAAAAATTTGAAAGCTAACACTCTAATAAATAGTTGGAGAGGAGAAAATATGATTGTAGAAAAATAATTCCTTATCATTACTTTGCTCACCTTCAAAGGAACTGTCACAGTTGGGGCTATGAAGCTTATACACACCTAAACATAAACTTTGAAAGGGGTTAAAAGGTTTAAATGGGGTTAAAAGATTAATGAAAGGAGCTCCCAGGCTACTTGACTCCAATATTCCAGAAAAGGAGGATTGACAAGCAAAAGAACCACAACTTCCACTAACTTTCTTCTGAATCTTGACTGTCCATTCAGTAAATATTATCAGGTCCCACTCAATGTAAATCTAAGCACTCTGTAGTGCCTCTAGGCAATAATCATCCAGTCTTTGTTGTTCCCTAACAAAGCCTGACAGCATTTCTCATTACTTTCAGAATATGGAGTGCAATTTGGCTTTTCTCATCTAAGGGAAGAATATCTAGTTTGTGGCTTAAACCATTAATTTCTCTACATTCTTTGGGCGGCCACCTCTTGAATTTTTTTTTTTCCAAACTATAAGAGAAAGTTTATTAAGAAAGTCACTGAGGTAGAAGTGAGCCATAGAAGAAATGGGCTCAGAAAACAAGTTACAGAGGCAAAAAACAAGCCCTTGGACCTTAGGGAAAGAGAAAAGTAAAGGTAATGCACCTGCCTGGGGGCGAGAAGAGGGGAAGGGGAAAGACAAGAGAGTCGCCAGATTGTTTTTCAGTGCTCAAGGTTAAGGGTGAAAATGAGATTGGAACTGATGATTTCACTAATACCTCATTTGTGCATTTTCATCTTGGTAAGTTAGTAATATACAGGGGAAAAAGAAAAAGAAGTTACCGGTAGTGAAATTTTAGATCTTATTCCATGTGTCAAATAAGGTGCAATTTGAGGATCATTTGCTCTGCCATAAAACACTCTTTCGGCTCCAGGGGGTGGATATCTGAAGTTGAAAAATTTTTTTGCCTCAGGTGGAGTAATTGGCTACAAACAGTGAGACAAGAAAACATAATTATTAAGTACAGTTTTTAAAACACTAGGAGTGATCTATATCAGCAATTTTCAACCAGTATGCTGCAAGTATTTTTAAACATGTAATACCTGGTATGTAAGTCAGGGGCACTGACCTCTTTTCCCTTAAACTGTCAAATAAGAAAATGACAATAGCCAACACAACAAGAATAGCCATCCGTTATGAGTGAATCAAAATTATACCTATTTTTTTGGTCAGATTGGCAAAAAATATATATTTTTGGTATGTCACAGAATTTTAGTAATTAGTTTATGTGTGCCATTGCTATTGGACCCAGAAGAGATGTTATCAAACAGCCCCCTGAGTCAGAGGGAGAGGCTGTCCCCTCCTTGGTTCTTGTCAATCTCATAGGAAAGATTTCAAACAGGTGATATCAGACAGCAGCATTGTGGCAAGCTAATTTATTAAGGAAGCAAAGTAAGAAAATTTATTAAGGCAGCAAGGTGAGCAAATTTATTAAAAATACAATTGGCATAAAGCACAATTGGGCACCCAGCTAATCTGAGCACCCTGCCTCTAGAGGTTTAGAGTTTTATATTTTTCTGTCTATAGGTTTCAAGGTTCCTCTGCTGGATATCTTGGGCACAGATAGGGTTCAAGGTTCCCCTTTTACTTTGTTGTGGCTTCCCCAGAATTTATGACAACATCTGGCGATTTTATCTTGGCAAATCTCAAGACTGCTGACTTCTTTGTTCAGCGAATGAAATAAAACTTCCCCTTCTATCCTTTCCCCTTCCCCCCTCCTGCCTTCGCAGTTCCAGGGTGATTTAAGCTATATATTCTCTGGTTAGGGAGGAGAGGTATTAACTATTTGCTCTCAAGTGTCCTTTGTTGGGGAAGATAAGGTCTTGCTGCAAGCTGGCTGCAAGCTGCCCAAACTGTTTGGCCTTGTTAAATTTTCTTGTCTCGGTTTCTCTATTCCACTTGAGCTGGCTTACTGGCCTGACTCACCATGAGATGAACAAGGCTGAAAAATCGCTGATCTATACCCAATGAACACCCTTTATTGCATGCATATAGTATGTACCTGGGGACCTACAGCTCCAAATAATAAAATTTCCTAAAAATTTTTTTAATGAAAATAATTTATTTTAAAGGTTATATTTAGGAAACAACTGGGAAGGCCCTGGCCAGTTTGGCTCAGTGGTTGAAGCATTGGCCTGCAGACCAAAGAGTCATGTGTTCCATTCCAGTCAAGGGAACATACCTCAGTTGCAATTCAGTCCCCAGCCCTGGTCAGGGTTGTGCAGTAGGCAATCAACTGATCTCTCTCTCTCTCTCTCTTTCTCTCTCTCTCTCTGTCTCTCTCTCACCCCCACCCTCCCTCTCACTCTATCTGAAGATAAATGGAAAAATATCCTCAGGTGAGGATTTTAAAAACACAAAAACAAACAAACAAACAAACAAAGCCACCAGGAAATATCCAGTTTAGAAAGCATGCCATAAATATTTCCTTTGAAATAAATGGAATCCCCTGTAGCTAAAAAGCTGGAAATCATAGAACTGGAATTGTCACTTCCCTGGACAAAAATCAATAGAAGGCCTCAAAATACAGTAAATAATCCAAATCCACATACAATATATTAAATTTAAACAACTTTCATAAGGAATGTTGAGCGTTGTCTATCTTCCAATATTCATATGCAAGGTAAAAACATAAACACAAATGCATATTGAAAATGCTCACCCTTGGAAGTTTTTCAGTCAAGCAGGTTGCAACTCTGTATCCAACTGGAATAACTTTCCCTGCCTAAGGGGGAAAAAATGCCATAGTTGATCGTTGTGGGGGGAATGGGGGGCAGGGGGTGTTGGGGAAGTAAGGAATAATATTTTGAAGAATGAAATTTATTTCAAACTTGGCCTATGCTTCTAATGCTACAAAAGTTACTTTCAGCTACTTAACACAATTAAGGAAAAAAGTAAGAACAAATTTCAAATCTTAAGCAGTCTTGATATATAATACAAACATTAAATGCTAAGTATATATAAGCATACGTTTTTTACAATGCTAGCATTGTAATCCAATCCCTCTGTGAAAAGCTGAGGGATTCAACTTTCAGAAATAACCTGGTCAGAGTTCCTATCAGTACAATGGGAACATGGCTGCATTCAAGCTAAACCCAAGATAAAATGTTAAGTAATTCTGAATGTGTGTGGATGTGTTTCTGTGTGTGGGTATTTCCACCAACACTCTAACTTTTGGCATATGCAAACATGTCACGCATGGCCCAGCTCCTTCAGTGAATGTCCTTTGTTCACTTAATTCTAACTTGGATCTTATCTGTGTTTCTTTGCCAAAGGCAAAGATTATAACAGTTCATTCCCAGTAATGCACCTCTTATCTATTTTCCCTTTATTGTTTCAAGGCAGCTGACAATTATGTCTTCGATCTCAGCTGGTTGTTCTTTAGATCTGGTGCAGAGGTTTTGTCCTGGGAATTTTTCCTTTGCCATTCTTCAGAGTTAGATTGCCCATTCCGCCCATCTATTCCTCCTTTTGGGTTAACTCCCCCATTTCACCAAAGAAAATTCTTTAGTCATTTCCTAAGAAAGAATGCATAAAAGGCCACTTTTTTATTCCTTACATCCTTGAAAATGTATTCTGTTCTTACATTTGGTTAATAGTTTGGCTAGGTCCAAAATACAAAGTAGCAAATAATTTTCTTTCTGATTTTTGAAGGCATTATGCCAATGTCTTTTATTTATTTATTTATTTATTTATTTATTTATTTATTCCTATGCCAATGTCTTTTAAAATATGGTCTTGATGCAGTTCTAGATTTTGTTCCATTGCATGTAACTTTTTTTCTTCCCTAAGGAAGTATTTAGAATCATCTCTGTATCCCTAGCTTTTAGAAGTTTCACAATAATGTTTTTTGGTATGAGTCTTCTTTTTCCTTCATTTGGCTTGATCCTCAATTAACTCCTTACAATTTTTATTTGTATCCTTCAATTCAAGAAAATTTTCCTTCATTTCTTTGATAATTTTCTCCACCTTATTTTATCTTTCTTTCCGGAACTACTATTAATGAAATGTTTTCTAATATTTCTTTCTTTTTTGAGGGTTTTCTTTTCTTTATTGATTTTTAGAGAGAAAAAAGGGAGAGGAAACGATACAACCATCGACGAGAGAGAACAATTGGCTGCCTCCTGTATGCCCGCTACTGGGGATCAGACCCACAACCTGGGAATGTGTTCTGACCAGGAATCAAACCCGCGACCTCTTGATACATGGGTCGATGCTCAAGCACACTGGCGGGGCTCTTTTTTGAGGATTTTAATCAATAGTGGCAAGATTTATTAGTGAAAAGAGGTAATATGCCCTTGGAGTGGCAGTGAGCAGGCAGGCCATAAAAGCAGCTGCATGGACTCAGGAAAGGAAGTTACAGAGGCAAAAAGAAGAGTCCTCTGCTGCTGCTTCTGTTCCCTTAGTTGCAAGTCTCATGTGGACACTTAGAGTTCAGGAGAAAGGAAGGCAAAAAGTATGCCCTCACTGGTTTGGCTCAGCAGTTACAGCATTGACCTGCAGACCTAAGGATCCTGGGTTCTATGCCGGTCAAGGGCACATACCTGGGTTGCAGGTTTCTCTCTCTCTATTTCTCTCTCTCTCTCTCTCCCCCTCCCTCCCTTCTACTCTATCTTTAAAAAAAAAAAAAAAATCAATGGAAAAATATCCTCGGGTGAAGATTAACAAAAAAAAAAGAAGGCAAAAAGAAGGGAATGGGCTTGCTCCTAGGAGGGAGTGCCCATTTCCTAATATTTCTAATCTTTTTTCTTTTGGTTTTAATGTCTGAGAAATATCTTTGATTTCACCCTGCAGTGCCCTTTTGAATTTTTATTTAGATTATCATGTTTAAATTTGAATTAATTCTTTCTTCTCTGGTTGTTCTTTTAAAAGTTCCAATCTTGTTTTATGGACGTAACATCTTTTATCTCAGGTCATCTTTTATGTTTGTTTACATTTTCCTCTGTTCCCTCTGTGTTTGTATATATATTTTATGTGACCTAGTTTTTACCCTCCATTTCAAGCTGGAGTCTGATCCACATAATAAAAAGTTAGGCACTACTGCCCTGGCTAGTGTGGCTCGGTTGGTTGGAGTGTCATCCAGTACACGAAAAGGTTGTGGGTTCGATTCCCAGTCAGGGTACATGCCCAGGTTGCGGGTTTGATCCCTGGTCAGGGCAGGTGTGGGAGGCAACCAATTCATGTTTTTCTTTCTCTCTCTCTCTCCCTCTCCCTCCCTTCCTTACTCTAAAACAGTGGGTCTCAACATTCCTAATGCGGCCACCCTTTAATACAGTTCCTCATGTTATATGTGGGTGTATGTGCATGTGGGCAAACCCACCTGGAGATGGACAGAGGAGCGGTGTCTTGGTTCCTAAGACCATAGGAAATATGTGTTTTCCAATGATCTTAGGCGACCCCTGTGAAAGGGTCGTTCAACCCCCAAAGGGGTCGTGACCCACAGGTTGAGAACCGCTGATAAGTCATCCTAAACAGATCACCAAGTTGCAAAAAGGTTTGCTGACAAACCTCCAGTATAATATAAGTATACATAAGGTGTTCAGATGATGAAGCAGCCTTTACTTTGGTAAAGCCCCAAATACCATTTTCCCCCTCTAGACTATTCAGAATTCCAGAGCATAGTAATAATGGTAATAATAATTGACAATGATAAAGCACATAGCATGTGCTGGACACTGTTCTTAGTGATTTATGTGCATTAATTCATTTAATACTCATAATGATTTCCATGAGGTAGGTACTATTATAACATCACCATCTCCTCTGTGAGCAAATTGAGACACAGAGGTCTAGTAACAGGGTTACACTGCTCATATATTGGCAGATACTGATCCCAAGCAGGCTGGCTTCCAAATCTCTACTCTTATGCAGGATGCTTTATTGCCTCTCTATGCACTGTCTACTGGTGAGAGGGCTGGCTTTCCTCCTGGCTGCTGGCTCTCCAGGGGCCTTTGGGAGAGGAAGCTCGTGAAACTGCAATACAGAAAGTACACTCTTTCTTACTTTTAATGCCCCATTTTCAGCCTGGAGCTCCCCCCCTGTATTATCTTGAGCTTGGTGTCTTAGAGGCCAATTTATTAAGAAAATAAATCCACAGCTTTGGTGGAAGGAAGTGGAAGCTGGTACAGAGAGGTAGGGAGTCAAGGTAGCACAGAATGGAAAGGAGAACTGGAAACCCAACTATACTGAATACAGACTTTCAAGTCTTTGATTTTCAGATCCAAGCCTTACTCTACCTTCTTCCAAAGGCTGAGCTTCTCAGGGATTGTTCCAGTCAAACTGGACCATTTCTGGAAATTACCACCTGACTCCTCTCAAACTTCACATTTTTCCTGCTCTGCAAAATCAATTGCCATATATCCATCTTCCTATTTTCTAACATGTATTGAAATTTCTCAGTTGTTGTCTCCTCTTCTCTTTTCTTTTCCCTTGTAGTTGATTGTCTTTAAAAAACGATTAAAAGTCTCAGAAATCAGGACATTTGCATTGATATAATACAAGTATCTAGTATAATGATCCTATTCAAATATCACCAGTTGCCCCAATATGTCCTTTATAGCAAAAGGAGCAAATCCAAGATTGCAGTGTGATTGTCTGGTTCCTCTGAGAAGCAGACACCAAGATTAGACGTGTAAGAGATTTATTAGGGAGCAGACGTGTGAAAGATAAAGGGGGAGGAGAGACAGGAAGAGATTCAGACCATGACACCTGTGAAAGCAGAGAGAGAAGTATTAAGAAAAAAGAACTTCAGGCTATAGCAGTTCTGAGAAAATGCTGGCCAGGCTAAAGATTGGTCTCTGAGTCTGAATTTCCCATTAAAGGAATTCCATGTTGGGTAAAAAGGGTCAAGTTCTAGTATCCCTGCCATGCTCAGTCACTGGGAGTGTGGTCTGGTGAATGCTGGGATAGATCAAGAGGTGGATGCTCAATCAGGTATACTCCCCACAGCAGGTCTTCTTAAAGGAGGAGTGAGCCAGACACCTCCATAGCCACCACACATGTATAGCATTTAGTTGTCACGTCTCTTTGGTCTCTTCCAGTCAAGAGCAGTTACTAATGTTTGCCTTTCACAACACTGACATTTGTCTTAATACAGGCCAGTTATTTTATTTTATTTTATTTTATTTTATTTTATTTTATTTTATTTATTTTTGTTACAGATGTTTCCCTTTTTCCCCCCACTGAGTCCCCTCTACCTCCTACCCCCACCCCAGGCCAGTTATTTTATAAAATGTCCCTCAGTTAGACTAGCATTGTCTTATTAAAGTTACACAATTTTGTCAGGGATATCACAAAAACAGTGCTGTGTGTTCTTCTATCAGGGAGAACACACTGTCAATTGGTCCTATTACTACTAGTGTTAACTTTGATCACTAAAGGAACGTAATGCCTGCTAGCTTTCTCCACCAAAAAGTTATTTTTAATTTGTAATTAATCATTATTCTCTGTAAATATCTAGTTTCTCACTAAACTTTTACCTACTGTTTTGGTATCCATTGAGGATTCTTGTCTAAATCATTACTACTATCATAGTTGCCAAATGGTGACTTTCTAATTCCATCATTCCATCTACATTATTACTTGGCATTATATAGCAAGAAAGCTTCCTTTTCTTGCCATTTATTCATTCATTCCTGTATTTATATCAGTATGGGCTCATGGATTTGTATTTTACTGAATAGTAATTTTATTCAATGCTCAAAGTATAGCAGTTTGGGCTATTGGGATCTTTTCCAAGTTTGTTTCTGTGCCTCTTTGACATATCTGTACTATTCTTTGAAAATTTTCTTTTGGGCTCTCAAAGGTATTCCAAGTTCATGCACCAGCCCTAAAATTAACCATTGTCCCAAAGAGTTTTTATTCCTTTTAATATAGAATATATTTAGAAATAAAGATCTGTGTTTTTGGTGGCTACCTCCTCATCAGCCCCCAGAGTACAGTTTTCAGTGACCTATTTTACTTCTCACATGACTGGTTTTCAAGATTCAAGTCAACTTAGGAAGGTTGATACAAGACTAGTCTTAGCTGCTGAAGACTCACCAACCCATAATCATGTCACCTTCTTCTCTCTAAACTCAGTGTGGACTAACATTACAGTCCCGTCATCCCATTGGGCCTTGGCCAAGACCACTGTGTTTAACCCATAGATATCCCTAATTCTGAATATCTCAAAAAAGTTATGTATAATAGCATCAATGTCCTTCTCCCCAGAAGGCCCTGACCCATTATAAAACCACCCACTTCTCAGAATTCTGAACAGACTGGCTCTATACAAATTCAGACAAAATAAAATTGTGTGCCTTTTTTCAGTACCCGGGCTTGTATAATCAGCAAGTTCTCACAAGATTTACAAATAGGTAACTCCTTTGCTTCTACCCATTCCCCAAATAGCTATCAGGTCCCCTTAGTATAGAACAGGGGAAAAATATAAAGCATCCCTTCCCATTACTTTTACCATATTATAAAATCATTTGTCTATTGATCTCGAATCTCTAGACTCTAAGTTCCTTGAAAGCAGACAAAATATCTTTTTTCATTTTTGTAGCCACAGTGCCTAGCATACTGTCTAGTAATTGCAGACACTATAATTTGTTAACCTTCCTTTGAACCTTTTCTTCCTTCTTCCTGTATCACAACCAAGTAGGGCTTAGCCCAGAAATATGAAGATTGTTCACTATTAGAAAATTAACCATTTCAATCTGGAAAAGATGTATTTCAACAAATGGGACAATTTTTCATAGCTCAAAGTCTTTTTCTGATTTTTAAACATTCTTAGCAAATTGAGAGTGGATATAGGTGTCCTTAACTTGATATCAGAAATCTTCCACAAAAATAATACTCAATAGTGAAGCATTAGAATCATTCCCACTAAAGTCAGGAAAGAGATCTTACTTTCAATATCATATTATTGATCATAGGCAATGCAATGATATAGAAAATAGAAATTTTATACACACACACACACACACACACACTGAAGAGGAAAAGATAAAAGTGTCAATATGATTGTTTAGTTAGAAAATCCAAAAGAAGGCTCTGGCCGGATAGCTCAGTTGGTTAGAGTATTATCCCCATGAGCCAAGGTTGTGGGTTCGATTCCCAGTCAGGTCACATACAAGAATTAACCAATGAATGCATAAGTAAGTGGAACAATAAATTGATGTTTCTCCCCCCCCCCATCAAAGAAAAAAGAAAACCCAAAAGAAATAATGAAAAACAATTAAGACTGTTGACAAAAAACAGGGGTTCCACAGAAATGAAAAAAGCAACATGAATATTATAATACAACATGTATCTCAGTGAGAGGATTGAGAAAGGCAGACTGAGGAATGAAATGAAGGTCAAAGAGAAAACAGAAATCAAGAGGAACCACTCATGTGCACGGAAAACAAAGCTGACGTCTAGAAAGGAAGGCAGACAATCAGAGGAGATCAGACAAAGTAACAGCTGGAAAGAGTCCAGTGGGACAAGGATTATCAGAATTCCAATGAAATCTTTGCAGTTTGACTGCACAAACCCAAACACGTCTCATCAGTGCAGCATCTCTCTGAAGATATGGCTATACACAGTTCCCAGGGAAAATACTAGGGGGAAAAAAAACAACAACTTACACTTGGACAGCAAGGCAATCGATCAAAAAATTTCCCAGAGTAGATGGGTCTGATATGATCTGTAGGTTCCACTCCTGGTTCAATGTTTTCAGCATCCATTTTCTCTTCAGGTTGTTGGGCAAACAGGCATTCGGGAGGTTCTATCACCAAGCCCATTTGGGACTCTGTATTCTTCATTGCACCTGGGTCCTCTGGTTGAGGCAGCCCAATGTCCACCTCCACAGCAGGCTTCATCTCTACACTGGACTGCACCACCGCACAGGTTGGCTCTTCTTTCAGTTCTCGACTAGGTTCCACACCCAAAGCCCCTAACCCTTCAGGGGCACCGGCCACTGGACCTCCTCTGCTCCCTAGGGCCTGAGGACTTGCACACACCTTGCCCAAGGGAGGCCGCATTACCCTTCCAGAACACGGTGACCGAAGACACTCATTTTCTAAACCCACTCTTTCTGGCAACATACCCAGAGGTTTTGTTTCCTGTGAGGCTGAACATCTGTTGACTCCTAAATTACTCCTCTCCATGAGGGTCCTCGACAAATCCTGTCTTTTTAATCTCATTTCAAGACCCTTGTTCAACGGAGATATTGTTTCTGATGATGACATCCTCTCCTCATATTTATTTCTAACCAAGGGGCTCTCCCTCCATGGGGAATCTTCTGTTCCTAATCCATTTCTGAGCCCCAACTCCGTTGGAGATTTTGTTCCCACAAAGACCCTCTCTCCTAAATCATCCTTTTCTTCCTGGGTTAATCCGATCCCCATGCTCAGGGGAGAATTTCTCTCAGACAACCTCATTCCTCCAACAGCATTCATCTCTGAGGGGAAACCTGTACCTGTCTCGAGGGAAGTTCCCAATTCCTTTGGGAGCTTCAACCCTTTGGGGGACCCCACTCTCACGAAACTGCACATCTTGGCTCCTGATTGCTTCCTACCTGCCAATGAACACCTAGCAGAGTTCACAAAGGAAAAGAAGCTCCAGGTTTGTTTACCCTGTTACCTGGGAAACGGGGGCGTGGCTTGGCGGGCAATTCTTTCTCTGGGGGATCCCCGCCCATCTCTCTCCCCCTACCTCCTGTATTGGTTGCTCTGCCTCTTCGTCTTTCTTTCCCCTCCTCCCTCTCTTATTCTCTTTCCCCTCCCTACTTTACTAGATTTGGAAGGCAAGAAAACTTAAAGGATGTGGTCTTAGACACTAGATCAAATTCTCACCATCTCTTTGGTTTTCCAAGCAATGCTGTCCCTCGGGCTTCCTCCTGGTGGTGATCAGGGAATAAATAATACTCTTTATGTTGGTGATCCCTAATTTTAGGTCCTTCCTTGTGCAAGTACATGAACACTGCATTTATTTCTTTTAACTATCTTAAATTGTTGTATTTGTTATATTTGGCAGCTGTGGTATAGAAATATTGAGACGTCTTTGAGAAAACTAACACTTTAATACCTAGACTTTGAATGGCATTTAAAGCAAATATATTAAAGTTGAGATGTTACACAATAATGCATATTGAATTTTTAAAATATTGTGGCAAACTCAAACTTTGGTTTTGAGTATGGGATTTCCTTTAAATTGGGTTTACGCTCTGTCAGGTTTGTGTATTTTTTTTTTTAATATGTTTTTATTGATTGGAGAGAGAGAGGAAGAGAGAATCATCAGTTGGCTGCCTCCTACACACTCCCTACGGGGGATGGAGCCCAAAACCCAGGCATGTGCCCTGACAGGAATCAAACCAGAGACCTTTTGGTGCACAGGACTAGGCCCAACCAACTGAGCCACATCAGCAAGGGCTACACAGTCACGTAATAACCAAAGTTATTTGATGAATATTTGTCATATTCTCCATATATAGGAGATATAGAATATCTAGCTTAAAATTTGAATGGAATTTATAGGATTCCAATCTTTTTAAGAACTCTATGAAAAACTTGTAAAATCAAAAGGCAATTTAAAAAGTGATTGGGGATACTATTTAACATTTGTAAAAACTGTTTACCATAATTTTCTAGATAGTTAATATAAATATTCTTCTCCCCCTAAGCATTTTAAATGACTTGATAATGTGTAAATCAAGGTATGTTTGTGTAAGTGTTCATTCAATTCTTTCAGTTTATAAATATCTATTGAGTTTCTCTGTCAGTGCTGGGAATACAATGGAATATAAGCCAGTCCTTATTTACAGGATTTATATTCTAGCGGGGATAGATAACCATCAAATAAATCAACAAGTACGATCATTTCAGCCCTGGCCAGGAGGCTTAGTTGATTGAAGGGCCGTCCCATACACCAAAAGGTTGCAAGTTAGATTCCCAAGCAGGGCATATAGTTAGGTTGTAGGTTCAATTCCCAGTGAGGGAGTATATGGAAGCAATAGTTTCTCCCTCACATCAGTATCTCTCTCTCTCTCTCTCTCTCTCTCCCTTCCTCTCTCTAAAATCAATAAATATATCCTCAGGTGAGGAGATGATTGATAGATAGATAGATAGATAGATAGATAGATAGATAGATAGATAGATCCATTCACATACTGACAACTTAGGAAGAAAACAGAAAGCTTTGGCCCTGGCCGGTTTGGCTCAGCGGTTAGAGCGTCGGCCTGCGGTCCGGAGAGACCCGGGTTCGGTTCCCACTAGGGGCACGTACTTCGGTTGCAGTTTGTCCCTGACCCTGGTTGGTCGTGCGGTGGCAGCCACTCGATGTGTCCCTTTCACATCGATGTTTCTCTTTCTCTATCTCTTCCTCTCTCTCCCTCCCACTCTATCTGTACAAAAAAAATGTCCTCGGGTGAGGATAAAAAAAAAAAAGAAAGAAAACAGAAAGCTTTGACATGGAGGGGAGCTACTTTATTTATTTATTTATTTACTTACTTATTTAAGGGAAGCTACTTTAGAATCAATAGGCTTAGAAGTCAACTGAAGTCAATTGGGCAATCAGGGGGTGACATTTGAGCTTGCATGATGCCCTTTTAAAAATGACTAGGTCGTCTGGCCGGCGTTGCTTAGTGGTTGAGCGTTGACCCATGCACTAAGAGGTCACCCATTTGATTCCCGGTCAGGACACACGCCCAGGTTGTGGGCCTGATCCCCAGTGGGGGGCACGCAGGAGGCGGTCAATTGATGTTCTCTCTCATCAATGTTTCTATCTCTCCCTCCCTCTCCCTTCCTCTGTCTCTAAAATCAATAAAGAAAAAAAAAATTTTTTTAAATGACTAGGTCAAGTTTCCGTAGCCATTTTCCCACTGCCTTGCCACCACTGTTATAATTACTTTTTGGTTTGTCTCCAGGCACTCCAAGTTAAAAGTGTTACCATTCATTACCATCTGTGCAAAAACACATTCTTTAAATACACAATGAAAGAAATATACCCTGGAAGAGAAGGTAGAAGGTACAGGACCCTGTGGGTGATTGGGGGAGGTGCTAGGAATATGTGAGTGGGTGAGTGGGTGTTTAGAGATATGAGGGAAAAGGCAGCCCCAAGGGCAGTGTCTTTATGAATTTATTTAGGGCCTATCCATTTTGTAGCTTTCTTAACAAATTCTATCAACTAGTAGGATCCCACATTTGATACTAAAATATATACAATTATAAATCCTCCTCGGTTATCTGGGGTTAGGGAGGGGAAAGTACAGTGTGAGTGGCAATATAAAAGCACAGCTTTACTGTAGCATTTAAATCTCTCCAAAATTACCACTGGACCTTCGAAGTGCTGGCCACTGGAGCAGCACTCTCCCATGTGAAAAAAACAAAAATTTATGACTAAACTATAAAATATTGGGGAAATATTATTGAAGGAGGTGAATTAAAAGACAAAATTGGTAGAAAGAAATGAAGAAATATCCAAGAATGATGAAACTGATGAAATGTAGAGTTCCTAGCAATTTATGTCACCATCCATGAATTATTTGTGAGGTCTTCCTAGTCAAATATTCACCATTGAAAATGTAATTAAGTTCAAAAATATTTTTAGGGGTCTCTACCAATCAAAGGTCCTTCTGTGAGGAATTGAAATGATGACTAAATTATGGTCTTGGTTCTTAAGAACTTTAAAATCCTGATGGGAATAAAAGCCTTAGGAAAGGCTAGGCACTCTGTAAAATAAAGCAAATATTAGAAATGTTATAGAAGTAAAACAGAGTACTGTGAAACTACAAAATAAAAAAGATAACTAAATCCTGTAGAAGTATCTTCAGCTGCTGTCCAGAGGAGCTGGCATCCTGGCCAAGATGAGACCTACAGTGATGGGCAGTTCCAGGTGGAGAGAACAAAGTGATCAAAAGATGCCAAGATGAGAACACACAGGCAACATTCTGGGAATACAGAGTATCGTACTTGGTATGATTAGGGGACAAAACAAGAATTTGGGGAGAGGTAGGCTATAGAAATAGAATGAAAGAAAAGCAGTTTGGTTCTAGAGTTGAAGAACTTTGGCTCTATTTAGCAAGTAATGAGATACTATTGAACATTTGTGAGTGTGACTGGCTGACATGTAAAGAATTAACTTGAGCCCTGGCAGGTCTGCCTCAGCGGTTAGAGCGTTGGCCTGTGGTCCAGAGAGATCCGAGTTCGGTTTCCGCTAAGGGCATGTACCTTGGCTGCAGTTTGTACCCCGGCCCTGGTTGGGTCGTGCAGGTGGCAACCACTCGATGTGTCTCTTTCAAGTCAATGTTTCTCTCTCTCTCTTCCTCTCTCTCCCTCCCACTCTATCTGAATAAAAAAAAAGGAATTAATTTAAAAGGCAAGAGTGTGCATTAATTCCAGTTTATATAAATGCTATCATAGTTCAGGTGTTAGGATTAGATCTCATTTTGGGGTGTAAAGAATGGACAATGGTTCACGAGAGAAAGAAAGAAGAGTTGAATGATTCTGACCTTCCAAGTCCAGGTGACTAAGAGGCTGTTAATACCAGTCACCAGGCAGAAGCAGGTTTATGGTGGTACAGGTTTAATTGTGGACATATTGTTGACATGCCAAAACTGATGTGACATATCCTAGTTCCTGATTCTTCCTGGGATTGTCCATGAGGTATTACCATTATCATATTAGAACAACCCCTTGGGGATGAAGTGCCAGAGATACCATTTACCTATGACACGTTATGCTCTTCTGGTTAGTAAGTGGGGAGTGATCTGAAAGACTTGCTGTTCAAGGGTTCAAATTATCTTCATTGCATAATGTGGACTAGGCACCCACGGGATATCCTACCCCAAGTACACATCCTAGACAATCAATAATAATATCCTTACAACAGAGCTATAAATGGTAAACTGGAAACTGAAAAGCAGCCATTATTATCCTGAGTGAAAAATCAATTTAATAGTCTGCCAAATTACATAACAAAATTTTGGCCAGATAACTGCCCACTGCGTGAGATTCAACCAAAGCAGCCTATCTTATGTAGGTCT